TTGTTTTGGCATGGCATTGCATAGACTTGGTAAAATATTGACTTTTGGTGGGGGCTCACACATCTGTGCTCAGGCCTTACTTCTGAGTATGCTCAGGGATCACCACTGACAGGACTCAGGGTCCCAGGTGGAGTGCTGGGGATCGAACCCGAGTCAGCTGTGTATATAGTACACCAGACCCACTGTACTCTCTGCCCAGCCCTCTTAAACTTTGACATCAAACTGAATTTTTGATGTCAAAGAGAAGGTAGAAAAAAGGAGAAAGGATGGTTTAGTGTCATCTTTATAAATGCTTCTTATTCAGAGGGATCACATTTCACCAACATGTCCCTTTAAACAGGCCTGGTAGATGTAGTGTCCTGCCCAGCTCACAGGTGTGTTTGTTTTAAAAATGCAAGGCGAACATTGACCTATTACACAAATATTCTTCTGTCCAGCACTCAAGGTCTTTGGCAGTTTTTCCTCTTACCCCATATTTTTTTGGTGGGGGGAATGAGGGAGGGTTATGACCAGTATTGTTCAGAAATTATTCCTGGCTCTATGTTTAGGGATCATTCCTGGAAGGGCTTGAGAGCTGGGGATTAAGCCCTGGTCTGCTGTGTGGAAGACAGTGACTTTCCTGCTGTGCTATCTCTTTAGTCTCTCAAATTTCATTTTTAGAGGCAAGGGACTTTTATTTTATTTTGCTTTTTGGGTCACACCCGGCGATGCACAGGGGTTACTCCTTACTCTGCACTCAGGAATTACTCCTGTTGGCTCTTGGGGAACCATTAGGTATGCTGGAAATCGCAAACTCCCTACCTGCTGTGCTACTGCTCCAGCCCTGGGAATTTATTTTTATTTATTAATTTATTTTTTTTTGCTTTTTGGGTCACACCCGGCGATGCTCAGGGGTTACTCCTGGCTTTGCACTCAGGAATCACTCCTGGCGGTGCTCGGGGGAACTTAGGGGATGCTGGGAATCGAACCTGGGTCGGCTGCGTGCAAGGCAAACGCCCTACCTGCTGTGCTATTGCTCCAGTCCCCCGGGAATTTATTTTTAAAACTGTACCCTCAGTGGTTAAATTTCACTAAAGTATTTTCTATGGATTTAGAGATAGAGGAGCTGGGTTTAACTTCCAACCCTCTTGCATGAGAGAGGTATAGATTTGGACAAGGCACTTGATTTTTGGGGTCACTTCTCCTCCTGTGGATTGGGATACTAACCCCAAGCTAGTGTCTGTGAGCTAACTCACCTGGGAAGGACTATGTATGGGATTACAAAGCTGTCTCATCACGTGATTTCTCTCTTACACATTTTATGCTTTCCTCTCTCTAAGAAACTAGCAGTTTGTGTCCAGGGTCACGTTGCATACTTGCCAGGGCATTCCATCTTAACCCTGAGCATAGGATGCTAACAGCTTGTGAAAAGTCTCCAAGCCTAGTTCTCACTAACAAACAGACACCCAGGTTCAGGTTTCAACAACTGCCACAACCCAAGTGTTCCTGGTGCCCCCTCCCCCTGTCCCTCACCCGCACAAAAGCCTTTTTCGCTTTTCAACTCATTAATTTATCCAACATATTTAGCCTGAATGTCTACCAAGGAGCATTATAAAAGATACAAGATGCTTAAGAACCAAATACCTCCAGGTATTATCATCGGATTGAGCAAAGAGCTAATTATCAATGAATTATAATATTAAGCACTATTATAGAGAGGTAGTGCAGGTGGGAAGGTGCTTGCCTTATCTGCCACTGACCTTGGTTCAGATCCAGCAATAATAGACCCCTTCCACTGCTGGGTATGGCCAAGAAGACATGCATACAGAGCACAGATGTGGCAAATATCAGTTCTGCCAAGGAAGGGAAGGGTGTGCCAGGAAAAACACCAGAGGAGCTTATCTATCTTGTGGACTGAGTAGGTGGAGAAGTGCAATTTGGGGGAAAGAAACACTAGCAAGAAGCAAAAGCACTCTGGGAATCTTGGGATGTACAGTCAAGGATTATCCTTTTTCTGTTTCTCAGAATGGAGTGTGTTATGTTCTAGAACCCCATACACTAGTGGATAAGGCTTTAGGGGTGGTCGATCCATTCTTTGTTTGTTTGGGAACACCTGGCAATGCTCAGGACTTTAGTCGTGGCTCTGCACTCAGCAATCACTCCTGGCAGACTCGAGGGACCATACTGGGATGCTGAGGATCGAGCTTTGGTTGGTCAAGTGTGAGGTAGGTGCCCTACCCACTCTACTGTCACTTCAACCCCGGAGTGATCTAGATTGGTAGATATTGCCAATCTAGCATCACAGGTGCATGAGATTGCTGAAACAAAGAAAAGTTATCCAGAATATAAACCTTCATGAGCAACCATTTGGCTCCATTTTAGAATGTATGAATAAGGCTTAAAAGAATATGTGACAGAGCTGTAGACCAATGGAACAGGGTCGAATATACTGACATTCCCCCCCAAGCATATAATCATCTAATCTTCGATAAGGGGGCAAGAAATGTGAAGTGGTGCAAGGAAAGCCTCTTTAACAAATTGTGCTGGCAAAACTGGACAGCTACATGCAAAAAAGTGGGCTCAGATCTGTCCCTAACACCAAGTACAAAAGTAAGATCAAAATGGATTAAAGACCTCAACATCAGACCGGAATCCATAAGGTACATTGAAGACAAAGTTGGCAAAACCCTCCATGACATTGAAGCTAATGGTATCTTCAAAGATGTCATGTCACTGGCCGAGCAAATGAAAATAGAGATAGATAAATGGGACTATCTTAAACTAAGAAGCTTCTGCACCTCAAAAGAAACAGTGACCAAAAGACAAAGACAGTCTACAGAATGGGAAAGGATATTCTCCAGATACATATCTGACAAGGGGTTGATATCAAGGATATACAAAGTACTGGTTGAACTCCACAAGAAGAAAACAACCAACCCCATCAAAAAACGGGGCGAGGAAATGAACAGAAACCTTCTCAAAGAAGAAATCCGAATGGCTAAAAGGCACATGAGAAAATGCTCTACATCATTAATCATCAGGGAGCTGCAGATCAAAACAACAATGAGATATCATTTCACACCACAGAGACTGGTCCACATCCAAAAGACCAAAAGCAAACAGTGTTGGTGCGGATGTGGCGAGAAAGGGACTCTCCTTCACTGCTGGTGGGAATGTCGACTGGTTCAGCCCTTTTGGAAAACAGTATGGACAATCCTCAAAAAATTAGAAATTGAGCTCCCATTTGATCCAGCAATACCACTCCTGGGAATATATCCCCGAGAGGCAAAAAAGTATAGTCAAAGTGACATCTGCACTTGTTTGTTCATTGCAGCACTCTTTACAATAGCCAGAATCTGGAAAAAACCTGAATGCCCAAGAACAGATGACTGGTTAAAGAAACTTTGCTACATCTATACAATGGAGTACTATGCAGCTGTTAGAAAAGATGAAGTCATGAAATTCATATACAAATGGTACTACAAGGAAAGTATCATGCTAAGCAAAATGAGTCAGAAAGAGAGGGACAGACATAGAAAGATTGCATTCATCTGGGGAACATAAAGTAACAAAATAGGAGACTAACACCCTAGAATAGCCGAGATAAGTACCAGGAGGATTACTCCATTGCTTTGAGGACAGCCGCACATGCTAGGGGAAAAGGCAGCTCAGATAGAGAAGGGAGCGCCAAATAAAGGGTGATGGGAGGTTCCTCTCATGATGGGAAGTGCATGATGAGAGTAGACTATAGACCAAACAAGATTGCCACTCAATGTCTATTTTGCAAACCACAGCACTCAAAATGAGAAAGATAACAAAAGGGAATGCCCTGTCACAGAGGTAGGGCGGGATGGGGGGATGGGGGGAGGGAGGGATACTGGGACTGGTTGTGGTGGAGGGATAGGTATTTGATCATTGCATAACTGAAACCCAAGCATAAAAATTTGTAAGTCTACAACTGTACCTCATGGTGTTTCACTAATAAAAATTTAAGAAAAAAAAAGAATATGTGAATTAGGTGCTGGAATCCTTTCATCACGGGAGGTTCATTCCCCCATGGGTGTTACTGCAGACAGAGCAATGCGGTCGAATTAACAGGGACGTTCACGTGAGAGGAAATTCAGGCAGTGAAAATATAGGTGCAGGAACATTTGCAGTTCATCGGTAATTAAAGGAACAAAAATAAACTAGACAGGACCTGGTATGCAAGAGACTATTGAAGGGACAGGAGAGAGCTCACAAAGAGAACTTGGCATAATAGGAGCATTGCATGACGAGCAATCCCCAAACAGAGCAAGGAGGTAGGTGTCTCCCCTGGCCCCCCAACCTCCCGACACATACAGAGACACACACAGACACACATTCCTTTCAGGCAACAACAAAAAGATTGTTATTTCGGAACTCCGATACACACATACACACACATACACACACACACAAACACCCCCCTCCCCCCCCCCATACACACCCCTTTCAGGAAAAACCAAAAAAACCCAGAAGGGCCGAATTGCAAACTCAGAAGGGTCCAATTGCAAAACCTCTTAGGTGGGGTCCGGTGCGGAAAAGTGAGGTGTGAGGTGTGCTGCAGCGGAGAAGTGGGACTACGGAGTGGAAAAACTACCACCGGGTGAGCAAAAGCCACTGCCTCGGTCTCCAAGGACCAAGTAGTGAGAGACGCTAGGGAGCAGTGCAAAGAAGGAGGCGTGGTGCCTGGGTGTCTCTAGGCAACCGATAAACCCGCCCTCGAGAATTATCCTTTCGTGATTGGCTGAGGAATTCACCAATGGGTGCATGGGAGCAGATTCCCGCCACCTCTGGCGCCCGCTTTCAAACAGCCGGGCCTCTGCAACTGCGGGCGAAATTCTCAACCAAGCTTGAGAGAGGAGAAGACTTCCGCCTCCATTCCCCGCCCCGACACGGTAGGCCCCGCCCACAAACGCGAGTATCTAGACGGCGATTGGAGGAGGCGGCTGCTCCTCAATGGCCTCAGCGCTCCAGTTTGGGTGTGATAAGGAAGGAACTTCAGAATTAGAGACTAGTTTAAAGGGGTTTGCTCGAAGTTGGTCTCCGGCCCGGGCTGTAATTTCCGGGCGGTGACAGCACCGGTGGCCTCAGGTGAGTTTTCCGTCGCTGCTGAGCTGAGAGGATGAAATTAGAAGAGGTGTAAGGCCTTGGGGATCTTGGCTGAAGCTTTCCGAAGGACCAGCTGGCCCCCTCCCCAAATCCCGCAATGATGGACTGTCCGCGGGCTGCGGGTCTGGCTCCACTTAGGACTTGAATGTGTCGTCGAGACCCTTCCTAACTATCTAGAAGGGGCACCTGGGTAGCCCTTCTTGCCTCTTGCCGCGGGGACGGTCGCGGGGGTCGCCCAGGCGCGGTGCCTGCCTCACAGTGGCTGCTTTGTACACGTGTGTTTGACCAAGTACGTGTGACTGGCAGCCCGAGCAAGCCGGCGGCAGCCCCTGCAGCTTCGATCTCGCGGTACCCAGTTGTCTTGCAGTGCTTGACGCCAGAGTTCCTTGGTAAGGCCACTTCATTGCTCTGTGGTTGTTAACTGGTTCCATCATTTGGGCGCTCCGACTCGATTCCGATTCGTGCAAACTGCTGTCATGAGGACTGATCTCAAAGACTTGTCATCTGTTGTTATGTCTGTTTTCTTTCCCTCCGTCAATCCATCTATCCTTTGTAATTTTGAACGCTGATGGGTAACTAGACCGCAGACTGATACCGCGAATCTGCCAGGGGCGGTGTGTAGAAGGGAAGCTATTGGCGGGCAGTCAGGTCAACAGGATTTGTTATTTCTTGGGGCTTTCTTACGCACCCCACTCCCAATTTTGTATTAGTTTATTTCTAGCCATGAATTGATTTAAGTCTAATTTCGCTATATCCTTAACAAGGCATGATGCATATGATATATATATATATATATATATATATATACATATGTATATATCTCCAAGATTTGTTTGCATACAACGAGAGGCTGAGGTTGAAGTCATAAGGAAAGATTAAGAAACACAGGGTACAAGGGGCTGCAAAACAAAAAAAAAAGAATGCAAAGGGGAGATTGATTTCGCTGGGAAATAGCATTGGAAAAGCAACTTGAACCGTATTCATCCTGCAACAGATTGCATTATTTAAACTTAAGTTTTTCCAGGTGGATGCACCTTTTTTCGATAAACTTTTGGTTTGTTGTTGTTTCTTTGTTTTGGGGCCTACAGCTGGTGATGCTCAGGTGTTAATCCTGGTCCTGCACTCAGGAATTACTCCTGGCAGTGCTTAGGGAGCCATATGCTATGGGGATCCAATCCAGGTCATCAGTGTGCAAGGCAAATGCCCTACCTTTGTACTATAACTCTGCCCTCCTCCCCCATAAACTTTATTAAATGTATTTGGTTACTTTAACCTGTATTTTAGCTGGCAGCCCGGATTCATCTTATTTATGCCATGAGTACAATACAACCATTTATCTGCATTATTTGTGAATCCTCATAACCAGTCTTTGGGGTAGGGACCATTCTTACTCCCATTAGTTTAGTGAAGACTTGGACACATTTTGCATAAGGTTGTAACATAACTGCAAACAGAAGTCAGGGTTGATTCCATGTTGTCTGACTTAAAGCAGCAATGTGTCCTTTAAGATTTATTTCTAATATAACTTCTTGCATCTCTACTCTACTTTAAATTTTTAAAAATTGAAAAAAAATCCTCCTTTCCTTTCTTTGTTGTTGGGAGTCTAACAGAAAATGTATTTCATTTTTTTTTTTGTCGGGATTGGTCAGGGCACACCCAGTGATGCTCAGGAATTACTCCCAGTGCTGCACTTAGGGGTTACTACCGGCTCTGCACTCTGGTATCACTCCTGGTGGTGCTTGGGGAGACCTTAAGGGATGCTGGGGATCAAAACTCTGGTTGTGCTAGAGCAAGGCCTTACCCGCTGTGTTCTCTCCAACCCCTCTAAAGGAAAGTCGTGAAAGTCCTGCTTTTTTTGTTTGTTTGTTTGTTTTTGCTTTTTGGGTCACACCGGTGATGTACAGGGTTTACTCCTGGCTCTGCACTCAGGAATTACTCCTAGCGGTGCTTGGGGGACCATATAGGATGCTGGGAAATTGAACCCAGGTTGGCTGCGTGCAAGGCAAACGCCATACCTGCTGTGCTATTGCTCCAGCCCTTAAAGGAAAGTCTTAAGGTCAAATTTACTTCAGTTTTGCTTGTGAGGCAAAGCACTTTTCTCTGTTGTAGAAACTGTTAAAATGTAACTGTGAGGATTAATTTAAATCACTGTTTCTTTAAGAGACTGTAGACTCCCCATGGCTGGGACCATGTTTCAGAGACAACTGGTGCCACTTACAGGGACAACTACACACATTAGATATTTAGTCACATTGTACTGAAATAATTCCTATAGGGGAACATGAATGTATCATACTCATTCAACACATATTTGTGTTTCTGCCCTTGATAGTTTTAATACTAAGTGCTTTAATACTAAGCGTTCTAGATCTGTGCTGGGTGGGGACAATACAGCGACTGGGATAAAATCCAGACATGCAAACCGTGCACTCAACTCTTCGAGCTCTTTCACTATCTTGGAGATACGTTTTAATTCTGTATTCAGAGTTAATTTTAGGCCTTTAGATGAGGCAGAAATAATGCTGCTTGTGCTTTTTAACATTTTGTCCAACTAAACACCCAGTGGTGAGTTTTACTGCAAGGAAGATAAAGAAAACAAAATGGGTAGCAAAATGTGTAGTGAACCTAAACCCTCCAACCTGAGTGTATGTAACAAGATGACACAAATAGTTTTGTCAGTAGTAAAAGGTACCCAGGAGAAGTATTAATCGGTTTGCTAATTTTAGAAAAGTAAGCATAAATACTCTGCCCTGAGCACTGCCAGGTGTGGCACCAAAACAAAAGCAGATAGCAACAACATAAGCCAAGCTCTCTTATTCTGATTATTAAAGTCCCTGACAACTCTGTTTCCCCTCCCCCGCCTTTTGATTTTTGGCCCCCACCAGCAGTGCACAGGGGTTGCTCCTGGCAATCACTCCTGGTGGTGTTCAGGGGACCGTATGTGATGCTGAAGGTTGGACCCAGGTCAGCTGTTTGTAACGCAAGCACCTTACCAGCTAGCTGTGCTGTCTTTCCAGCCACCGGTGTTTTTATTTTTTTCGTCCACAACCAGTGGTGCTGAGGGCTTAATCCTGGTTCTTAGTTCAAGGGTCACTCCTGTTGGTGCTAGATTCCTCGATCAAACCTGCGTTGATCTCATGCAAGGCAAGTACCCTCCTGGTTGTATTCTCCAGTGCTGCCATAATTTATCTAAAGCACTCATTTTCTTCTTTTCAAATATTATGTACAAAGATTGGTTTCATTTTAAAATCAGTGATGTGCTACAATTTAATTGCCACACCTTGTTCTTTGAGATAAATTATACAATCAAAGGCACTTTAGATCTGATTAAAGGAATATCTTTATAGAGCTGTTGAGTTTTGGAGAAGTTTGTGATCATAGTTATTGTCTGCTAACAGTTGACAGGTTTTTTTTATGGTAAAATGCATGTTGATTTTCTGGTTGTTACTTCACTTCCAAATTTAATGACACACTGGGCCTGAAACCTGTCACCACCTGTTTGCTTTCTTGTCTGGATTATTTAGAGCTTTGAAGTGCTGGGTAATTTATGTGTTGTATGGGGATCTTTATATACCATTTGGGATGTTTACATATCTTGTGGTTCAGCAATAGCCTTTGGGCTGAAGTGCTTGAAGTCCATCTCCTGCAGCTGTTTCTGCCTGAGCCTTTGTAACTGGAGCTACACAGAGGGATAGCTTCACAGCCACCACTTCTGTTTTTTCCTATTCCTATGCTGGAACCTAATTTACTTCTATTTTTGTTGCGCACAATATGGCCTTTGCCAGATTTCAAATGGTTTGGGGGGTAGCAATCACTGACTCAGGATTTACAGTTTTTATTTTTTGTAAAGTATGACATTGGATTTGTGATTAAAAGGATGAAGCATTGTGGAGAATACTACCTATGTCATACTTAGCACCTCAGATTAGAAATGTGAAACTTAGTCTTACAGTTGTCTTTTCTCTTCTTCCTCTTCTCCTTCCTCCTCTTCTTCCCTCTCCCTCCTTCGCATGCAAAGCAAGGGCTCTACCCACTGTATGATTGCTCCTGCCCAATTATTTCTTTCTCACAGATTTCTTATTTTCTTTTTCTTTTTGGGTTACACCCAGCAATGCACAGGGTTTACTCCTCGTTTTGCACTCAGGAATTACTCTTGGCAATGCTCGGGGGACCATATGGGATGCTGAGAATTGAACCTGGGTTGGCCGCATACAGGGCAAATGCCCTACCTGATGTACTATTGCTCCAGCCCCACTCTCACAGATTTCTAATCATTTTTTTTGTGTGGACAAAGGTCATAATATTAAGATATGCTTTCTAAGCTCTATAAAGGTCTTACCATAGCTTTATTAGTTATTTATGTTTTCCCTTTCTATGGATTGCTGCTATTCAGCTATGTTCTGTGAATCACAATTAATTTGGAAGGACTCTTTATAGTCAGAATACTATTTGTCATACATGAATTACATATATTTTCTCCTAGGTTACTGCTGTCTTTTTGGGTATGACATCTTTTGTATAGTTTTGTTTGGCATTTTTTAGAAACCAAACATCTTATTCTCCTCCCAGGTAAGCCATGTCATTGGACTTTGGCAGTGTAGCACTGCAGACACAAAATGAAGATGAAGAAGAATATGACAAAGAAGACTATGAAAGGGAGAAAGAGGTAAGTTACCGAGATGAAAAAAGACTCTAAGTCTAATCTTTAACAATTTTATTTTCTTGTGAAAATGCTATATATGTCATTTAAGAGAATTTATAAGCCTGCCTGCCTGCTTCCCTCCTTCCCTGCCTCCCTCCCTTCTAATATTTCTAGTTATTTTGTATGAACACAGTTAAGAGATATATTATGCCTAAAGGTTGGCTCTTCCTGGGGAAATCTTACTATATATTCCAGACTACAGTCCTCAGGCCAAATTAGTCTTTCCTAACCCCAGAGGGTCATTATTCAGTTACTTCTTTTCAGGTCATGGGAGAGTTTGTTCCGTGACCGTGCTCTTAACTTACTATACTTCTTATATACTTAATATATACTTATCTTCCCTCCTTTTGGGGATGTTAGGAAGTAAGGGCAACTGAGGCTTAAGTCAAGTAAATATGGAGACACAGGAGTAAATATTATCTGGAGTCAATTAACTTCCATGTTATAAAAGCATAGCATCAACTGTCTTCCTGTGTCTATACAAATGGAATATTGCTAAATCATGCAAAGGACATAAAGGAAAGAGAAAAGCAATATAGGACTAGGAGTGCCTGATGGAATTGGGTGTACCTCAGGAGCACAGTGGTGGGAGTAAGCTCCCTGTGGGAAGAGCAAGGGCAAACCAGTGTTATGCAACAGACAACAACAGTAGCAACAAATTATCCCTAAAGTCTGATCAGTCTTTTAAAAGGTAGAAGAGTCGATTTCTCTTTTGGGAGAAGAATAGAACACAGTTTTCCAGAGGTGCAGGATGCCATCATATACATGATGAGATTCCTTGGTGACAGTCTCCTGGTTTCCAGTTGCTTGAAACATTGCCTTAAGCAAGTCTGGCACAATTGTTTGCTGTGGGTAGATTCTGCCCTAGTGGTGGCCAACAGATAAGCAAGTAAGCAAATGAATAAAATAGTTTGGGTATAAACTGATAATGATAGGGAAAGCCCTGTGACAGTGAGAAATTGGTAAATGGCTGGTGAGTGGAGGTCTCCTGGAGAAGATATTTGAGCTTGACGCAAATATCTTTGACTCAAATATTCCTTGACTCAAGGAAGATTCAGCTACAGAGAAGCCACCAGGAGAATATTCTGTCAAGACTTTGTAAAGCCTGAAGTTGGGGAAGAGACAGTGTAATCATCCAGCAGGCCCTGTTGGGAATGTCTGAAAATAATAAATAGACTAGAGAAACTGAGTAAGAAGAGGAGTTCATTTTTTTGGTTTTGTTTTATTTAATAGTTACAAGCTACCGAGAGTATCTAGCCCACACGGCAAAGCCTGGCAAGCTCCCCGTGATGTATTCAATATGCCAAATACAGTAACAACAAGTCTGATGATAGAGACGTTACTGGGCCCGCTCAAGCAAATCAAGCAAATTCTTTATATGTAGGAACTGGTCAGTAAGTAGTGGAAACTAATAGAGTGAAAGTCAGTTTACTTGCTACAAATTTTAAGTCGGATTTCTTAATGATAACAGGCTTTTGTTGCACTGAAACCATGCTTATTATGATTCGTTTTTTACTATCAAGTAATAGCTTCCTGTGAACAGGAAGTAAAAATAGGATCAGACGTATGTGTGAGTTGCAGTGGAGTTAGGTCGAGAGAGAAAACTGGCAGCTCCATGATTGTGCTCATTTAGATGTCTGTGTTTCATTCAGTGTATTTTACAAGGTGAGCCTATATTTAAAAAATAAATGGGGAGGGGGTATTGGGCCACACCCACCTGTGTTCAGGGCTTCCTCCTAGCCCTGTGCTCAGATTATCACTCCTAGTGGTATCCTTGGGACCCTCTGTGGTGCCAGGAACCAGCTATATACAAGGCAAGCAACCCAGCCTTGTTCTATCTCTCTGTGCCCTTGAATCTGTAGTTAAAGATTGGAAAATTTCACATGACCCATGCTATTTCTGACTTGCCTTAAAATGCTTTGAAATCTTGTTATCTGCAGCCTCTCTTTCCAACTGCCCCGTTCCCCACATCACACACAGATATGGCTTAGTGCTCACGCTGTCACTCCTAGAAATTCCTGGTCGTGTTGCCAAGGATTGTTGGAGTTTGTGACCCTGGCTAGGCTTTCTAGGTTTTGGCAGGGCCCATGATAGCAATTCCTGTGTTATGGAGGGGGATGACCATATGCTGTGGCTTTATGAACTCACAGCATGAGGTTTTTCATGGCTCTTTATGTTTGCTGAAATTTAGCTACTGGGGTTCTTGAGAAGCACAGTTGAAGTAATTACTGTAGTGTGCGTTAAAGAAGAAAAATGCATTCTGATAGGGCTTTAAAATTTTTTAAAAAATATTGGGAAATAAACAGGGCATTAGAAAGAGCTTACTTCCAGAGGTATTGCTTAAGAAATTTTAAAGAAAGTATAAGTTATTAAAACATAGCCATTGATAGCTTGATAGCTTATGTGCCGAGCTAGGGAATTTATGGATTCAAAAAGGAGCACTCAAGAGGTGAATTAATATAATAATGAATGAGATGGATCTAGCTTTGTGGAAGGAAAGACATATATAGCTAACTGGACTACGAGATGATCATATAAATTAGGTTGAAAGTGTTTTTACTTTGTGATTTGTTTTAAAAAAATTTATTCCCTCTTTCACGCTTTGTTTTTACCTTTTAAAAAAAATTCAAGGGGTAGGACAGATGCCCAGGGGAGCCTGACGGGTTGATTTCTGGGTTGATTTCCGGCACCCCAGGTTCCTCTCTTAGGTGTAGCATCTCTGCGTGTGGCCCCCAGAACAATAGAGACAAAACCCTGACCTTCTTGAAGTGCCTGGGGAAGAAGTGAGATAAGAGACCAGAGAGTTACTCAGGAGTTTATTGTTCCTAAAATTCAGCTGCATAATGTTTCTAAAAATAATACATGAACTGATCAAACTGAGGCTGATTTGCATCTTGAGAAGCCTTTCAAGCTCTTGTCTCCTCCATCCTGCAGAGAGAACTCTTCAAAGGGTCTTGAGAGGTTAAGGGAAAACACCAATTCCCCCTACCTGCCTCCTTGGCACCTTTGAGATTTTATTTTTTAATTTATTTTTTACTGTTTGGGTCACACCCGGCGATGCACAGGGGTTACTCCTGGCTCGTGCACTCAGGAGTTACTCCTGGTGGTGCTCAGGGGACCATATGGGACGCTGGGAATTGAACCCGGGTCGGCTGTGTGCAAGGCAAATGCCCTACCCGCTGTGCTATGGCTCCAGCCCCCGACACCTTTGAGATTTTAACTACTAGTTGGGGGCAAGGGCTGGCGCCATAGCACAGCGGTAGGGCGTTTGCCTTGCATGGGGCCAGCCTGGCCAAGTTGGGTTCAATTCCTCCGCCCCTCTTGGAGAGCCTGGCAAGCCACCGAGAGTAACTCGCCCGCACAGCAAAGCCTGGCAAGCTACTTGTGACGTATTCGATATGCCAAACACAGTAACAACAAGTCTCACAATGGAGATGTTACTGGGCCCGCTCGAGCAAATTGATGAACAATGGGAGGACAGTGCTACAGTTGGGGGCTAATACATATCATTTTCTCTACTTAGTCAATCACTTTGTAATTAGTTCAATTACAAATTAGTTCAATTCAAGTCAATCAATTAATGTTATGTGGAAGGAATGCCGATATTCCTCAGTATGTCCTGCACACCAGCTCCACGGCTTCTATCTGATTTACTGTTGACAGTGCTTAAGGAGTTTGTGAGATTTCTCTCTGAGTGAATTTGGGAGAATAATCTTGCTTTTGATCCTCTAGTATGAATGGCCAGTTGTTAATGCAGCATGTTTTACACAAGGTGAGTTTAGTTTTGTTGTTTGGGGCCATTTGTGATTTCTGTCCATACTTGCCCATACATGCCCAGCGAATGAGTCGTCAAATTCCAGCTTCCATGGCGTTCTCATTAGCAGTTCTACACTTAGAATCATGCCTTTTCTGTTTCTCTTCCCGCCATCATTTGCACTGAGGAGCAAATGGGATCTCAAGTGCATTTGATTTTCAGAAAAGGAAGGGGTGTATAGTGATTCAGTACCCAGAGGATATGTGGAACAGTAGACTCTCAAGCTACAGACCAGGATAGAGAGCTGTCAGATATTAAAATGATGTTGCGAGTTTAAATACTCTTTTTTATTTTTAAATTTTTTTTTTTTTTGCCTTTTTGGTCTCAAACGGCAATGCACAGGGGTTACTCCTGGCTCGTGCACTCAGGAATTACTCCTGGTGGTGCTCAGGGTACCATATGGGATGCTGGGAATCGAACTTGGGTCGGCTGCGTGCAAGGCAAACACCCTACCTGCTGTGGTATCCCTCCAGCCCCGTGAGTTTAAATACTCTTAAGCTACTGATGAATAGGTACCATTTTTAAAAAACCTCCAGAATTTTAAAAAACAGAAAAATTTTACATAACAATTAGTAATTATAATCGTTTCTAAGTGGTAGACTGGTAAAAAAAAGATAACAAAAAAATTGTGGATCAAAGAATAGCAGAGAAGTCCATAATCTCCCAGTGTTTTAAATGAAACTCTCTCTTAAACACTGCCAGATAGATAAGGGTGCAGGTGGGTGAGGAGGATGTGCTATTATGCTAATACTGTTCATGTCACACATAACAGAATTAACAATATTGTAAACCACAGAACCTCAGTCAATAAAAAAGGTTGAAAAAATTTTGCCCAGAGAAAGGGAATATGAAAAATTTTACTAACTCTTCTATCATGTAACAAAGTGATTTTGTAAAATACCTGGAATGGCTACACTCTGATTTCATTGTTATTGTGTGTGTGTGTATGTGTGTGTGTGTGTAAAAACAGTGGTGACTATATCCTTTAGAGTTGCTGGGAAAACTCTTTTGGGTCTCATGTTTTGCTGGAGTATACATGAACTTTCTGGTTACTGGAAGTAACCTCTGATAATTCCTTAGCTCTGGAGAGTGAAATTTTACATATGTGCATGTATGTGTGTATTTTGGATTTGGTGGTTTGGGGATGAAGAACTCAGTAGCTATGAAATCAAGATAATTCTTCCTGTGATATTTTCTTTTTTGAAATCTGGAAAATGGTTTTGTGTGGAAGATAGGTGGTTTAAGTGGCAGATGCCAAACAATTTGACTCCCTCTTGGTTTTTATATTGGTATAATAGAACAATAATGCTCAATTTAGCTTATGATCATAAGGTTTACATTGTTGCCATTCTTCCACTTTGAAACGGACTTGTTTGATGTAATTATGGGAACATTTTGGTATTTTGTCCCCACTAGAGGGAGTTGTAAAGCTAGCATTTATTTGCATTTCTTTTAAAAAATTATTTCATGGGATTTTTTTTTTTGTCCTCTATCAAGAACATCAAAGAAACAAAGATTGAGTATTCAGATATGTTTCTGATTTTTTTCCCTTAGCATTTGTTAACGGTCCATCCCATTTTGTATCGTATGAGTTTTCCCCATAACTTCCCCTAATGTATGGCTATTTCTCAGGAAAAAAAATTAAATTGTGGCAGAACTGAAGCTTCATCGTCTACAGAAATCAAGTTAGAGCCAGGTGTGTTCCATATCCAACTAAATACTGTGGAGCAAATATCAGTGGGAATGGGAGATTTGTGTTCTGGGACTGATTCTGGGGCTGTTGCTCTCTCACTTTTCAGGGTTTTGCCCTTTACTTTTTCTGGGCCTTGGTTTGCTCGCTGTTACAAGAATTTGGGTTTAGATAAGTTCTTGTGTCCTGCCAGGCCTAAAGTTCTATTAAGTACCAACTTACAGTATCGCCATTAATCATTGTCATGTAAATGTTGCCATAAGATCCTTTCCAGGTATGTGGCACTAAGTCCCAGAAACATTGTTTAATGGATGGAATTATTTAATCTTTTTTTCTGTTTTACATTCTGCACATTCCATACTTTATGAATGGGATCTCTGGATTTCTAGCTGCCATTAACCCCTCATTTTTTCCTCCCCCCGAACTCCCACCCACTAACACACACAGAATGCTCCCAAGTTAAACTGAAGTAAAATTGAAGATTCTGCTTAGTGTGTATCATATATACAATACTCAAGCTGTATACTTTTACGTTATCAGCCTTTGCAGTGTACTCCCGAGGTCACCTGTTGAAAGGGAAGTATGAATGTTGGTTTCTCCATTTGCCGCTTTTCTCTTGGGAGAAGACACCTTACGTTTTTTGTAGTATGAGAACTTATTTTCTTGAATTGCAAGGCTTATAGGCTCTTAAGACATTAGTTTAAGTTGAAAGTTCTAGCAAAACATTTGTGTTTTCTCTTTCATTTTGCCCTAGTTTTTAAAAATGCTCTATAAGAGTTATTATAAAATGTTTTGTTGATGAATTCCCTTGAATAAAAGGCTCACTTTCTTTTATTTAGGGAAGAAACATGCAAAGTAGAAAAGGGAAAGAGGTCTACAGAGTCACTTAGAATGCATTTCAAGGAAGTGTAGCAGTGGCAAATTATCTTTTTTTTCTCTAAATAATTAAAAGTGGTTTCCCTTTAATTATTAAATTCTTTTCAAGCACAATAACATCATTCTGAGATGACTATTTGCAGTAAAAAAAAATCTAAAACTGAAATCAGTGAGTGAAATTAAATTGTCTCATTTCTAAGGTCTTAATATTTTTGTCTTTTAATCTTTGATAGTTGTGAGATCTTTAATAAGTAAAACAGGGTTTCTGTGGGTAACATGCATAAATTGATATGGCAGTTTTGTGTTTTGTGGCATAGTGTTCAGTGATCCAAAGCAAAACCTGTGTGTGGTGAATGTGAGAAGGGCACACTTTGATCCTAGGAGATGCAAGCCTTGGGGGTGGGGTTTTGTTTCTGAAGGGCCTTATTTGAAGGATTTCACCTCATTTATTTTCTTTCTTCGTGAAAGATATAGAAGTCAAGGAACAGGATCCAACTGTGCTCAAGAGCTTGATGGTCAAATTTTTTGAAGTGATTGAAGATATAAAATGATTGCATATATTTTTATATATGTACATAAAATGACACCAAATGCCGTAGAGGTTTTGCCAGTCGATAAGCTGTTCCCATGGATTCAGGAGCATTTCAATGCATTTATTTATAATCAAGTTAATTTTCGTCCATGGAGATCAGTTTTTGTGATGCTACAAAGCGACAGTAATTGCTTGGTTAGCATGTAGCCTTTTTATTTATTTATTTGGCTTTGTTGGTATGTGTCAGAGGAATCCACTGTTCAGATGTCCTTGTCAAGTTTCCCCTGTACTCTGTGGCTATGTACTTGAAATTCATTGAAGGTTTAGAAGAAACTATTCTTTCTGTACATGAATCCTTACTTGATGTAAGTATGCAAGTTTTATTATTTCTTCCTGGGTAATATGTGGGGTTGTCTTTTCACTTAAGGCACTTATGTGTAATTATAGACAAAATAGGTTGGTCTGCTATTAAAAGACTGTTTTTCCTGGTGAATTTTGTTTTTGAAAACCATTTGTTATCTTTCATCTGAGCCCTGTTGAGTATGAATATGTTGATGTGTTTTAGTTTGCTTTTGGTTTTTTTTTGTTTTGTTTTTGCTTTTGGGTTACACCCAGCAGTGCTCAGGGCTTACGCCTGGATCTACATTCAGGGCTCATTCCTGGTAGAGCTTGGGGGACCACATGGGGGGCTGGGAATGGAACCTAGGTCAACCATGTGCAAGGCAAGCACCTTGCCTGCTGTACTCTCTTTCTTAGGCCCCTGCTTTTAGTTTTGTCTCTTTTTTTCTTTCTATTTCTTTATGTCTTTTGGTCAACTCTCTTACTGTGAGTTCTCAAAATGATTTTTCCTTAAGTTATCCTAAGAGCAGGGAGTCAGTAAATCAGGAGCTTCATTGCTGAAATTAGTGTCAATGTTTAAGATGAAGATAACTTTGGACTATGTTTTTATTTAATTTTTTTTATTTCTGAGTCTGCCTTTGAAGACCAAATGGATTGAGGAAACCTTTTAAAATCTAGTATTAGAAATATATTTGGGGTTGAGGAGTTATCTCTTTCCCCCCATTTCATTAACCCCATTTCTTACCCCAAATTAGACTTTACCAAAATTTACTTAATAGATTTAACTTTTTCCCACATATGTACTATCAAGTTTTTATTAAATATGCAGTGTTCAGATATTTCATTTAAAAATTGTGAGAAAAGAAAGTGGGGGAACAAAGCTCTGCCATAGACTAAAGTGCACCCCATTTTTCTCCTCCATATCCTACAGATTTATATCTTGCGGTTTTTTATTGCATGCTTTTATGAGATTAATTTGTGAAAGGATTGAGTCAATTTATTACTTTTTAACTTGTGCTTAATTTCTTAAAAAAACCAGTTCCTCTCCTATTTGGTAATTATAATCTTTGAGTCTTTTTTTTTATTATTTTATTTTAGGAGTGATAGCACAGCGGTAGGGCGTTCGCCTTACAAGCGGCCAACATGGCCGACCCGAGTTCGATTCCTCCGCCCCTCTCGGAGAGCCCGGCAAGCTACCGAGAGTATTCGATATGCCAGACACAGTAACAACAAAGTCTCCAATGGAGACGTTACTGGGCCCGCTCGAGCAAATCGATGATCAACGGGAGGGCCTTTACCTTTTTTCTTAAATTTTTATTAGTGAAACACCAAGAGGTACAGTTGTAGACTTACAGATTAATCTTTGAGTCTTTTAACTGTTAGGAATTTAAAGACATTGCACTGGAATTTGAAAAAAGACATATATAGATAGATAATGAAATTCAATAAAGTTGACAGTTTTTTGAAAACCAGAATTCATCTTGAGCGTTGAATGAATTTCACCCCACCTAGCTTTTATAGGCAGAATGCTAAAGAACTGATTTTCACAGGAAATCATTTAAGAACGAAGTCCTAAGTTATATCAGGTTTAGAGTTGAGCTTTGGAAAGTACCATCTGCAAAAACTAGAACCTTCCACTCTCTTTTTACTCTGCTGCTTTGCAGGGGCAGAGTATTGTGTGTCTTTTAATTATTGGCATTATAAGGCTGTCCACTATTTAGTTACTTCCCGAGAGAGCTCTGTCACATCATTACCGCTTGTAAGGACCTCAAGGCCACCTGTTGCTGCTGTTTTTCTCACCACCCAGGCAAAGTGCATCTGGCTGCTCATATTCCCTGGAGGATGTCTGATTGTCAAGTCCCCAAGGTTGGATTACTGGTAGAACAGGATTCTGAGACCCAGTCTGCTCTGGGTCTTTCCAGATAGGGGTTTTAGTTTTTTGGGTAATGTACATGTATTTAAATCTTAGCAGCTGTGTTGCATAAGGTAAGCCCTTCTAGTATAAATTCAGATACTAAGTATTCCCTTTTCTGTAAGTGAAATGATGAAGATGAATTTATGTGGCATTTAAGAAATGTGTTAAATGAAGAAATTGCAAAAGTTACTTTTTAGCCACATCCTGTGATAATCAGGTTTACTCCAGGTTCTGTACTCAGGAGTTACTCCTTGTGTACTTAGGGGACAAAATGGGATGCTGGGATCGAAGCCGGGTTGACCATCTGTAAGGAAAGTGCCCTACCCACTGTACTATCTCAGGTCCCTGAAGAAGTTCTTCTATAGTCAAGGCCACTCATCCTAGGCCATCTTGATTTGGCATTGGGGGTTTAAATCAGTATGATATTGATGCTGGCTCTCTCTCAGTTGCAGCAGCTGCTCACAGACCTTCCTCATGATATGCTGGATGATGATCTGTCTTCCCCCGAGCTCCACTATTCCGACTGCAGTGAGGATGACGCAGAGGGAGAGTAAGGACCTACACTGATTTTCAGTTGTGTGTGACAATACTCTGACTCTGACTTTCGATTCTCTGCTGCTAACAATGAAATAATTGCAATAGCAGTTCAAAACCCAGGTTTATTCTTAGACTCTTAGGTGAAGGTTCAAGGGGAAAATGTTAAAATCTGAGGGTTCTTTATAATCTCTTTGTCCAAACGAATGATAAACTTTCCATCTAAAGTCTTGGTTTTTCTTAAGATCACATCATTCAGAAGAATTGAAGGTGACCTGGAATGAGCACCAAATGCTGCCTAAATCTCAAAGTGTCAAGGTAAGTATCTGATCTGATAATGACTTTGATGAAAGTGGGAACAAATCTTAGCACTTAGACTTTACTCTTACTATCTAATAGGAACAGAGTGAGATTCAGGATTTATATGTTCGAGATGAAAGTGGCAATGTATGGGAAGACAGACAAAGTAAAACCATTGACCTACATCCTGGAGAATGTGGAGATGAAGGCAGAAGTGGTTACAGTCCTCCCAGTAAATATGATCAGACTGACTTATATCACCTTCCTGAAAACTTTAGGCCATATTCCAATGGTCAGAAGCAGGAATTTAATGGGCAACAAAAGAATGTAGTAAAATTTTCAGACCCTCAGAGGAATCATTTTCAGGTAGTGTAAAAGCTTGATTTTAACAAATTTGTGTATGTACATACATTTGCTTTCATGTGTAAGCAGTGGTATTTTAAGTTTAACAATTTTTGAGAATGCATAATTTACTCAGGCTCATGTTAAATTAGGTGTGCAATTTTCTGTTTGTAATCTAATGCAAGCATGATCTAAAGTCAAAAGTTTAAAGTGGAGAGTTTATAGAAACAAATAGTTAATAGTGAAAGTTAAGTCTCTCAAAGAAAAAATAGTCATTCTTATTTATTGCTGCTTCTTACATATCATTTCACTATTCTCTAGTGAGAAGCTATATTCAGGTATTATCTTGATATTGTATCAGGCATACAATATCTTGATGAATTTCAAAAGCAGTTTATCTATGTAGATATTGCTATTTAGTTTTCCCAATTTTCTCTCACCCCAGAACAAATTGTAAGTGAAATGCTTCAAAGATATTTTCTGATGATGGAGCAGAATAAAGGATGATTGTTCAGGAGAGAAACTATCTTTACTGGGGAGGAATTTAATGAAAACATTGTGATGCAGCTGGTTGTTTCTTAGACTTTCTCAATGACAAGGAATGGCACCTTTTGCCAATAGCTATCTTCTGTTTTTCAATGATTTAAGATTTTCAGTATCTCTGAACTATGTCACTGTAGAATAAGATAGAATCTCATTCCATGAGTTATTAAATATGAGGAATTGTATTACATGCTCAGTAATGAATGTGTACATTTTTATGTTTTTAACATTGTTATAATCTTAGTCATCTGTAAATATTTTGTATGTAACTTTATTGGAATTCTCAAGTGTTATTTCTGAAATTGCCCCTATTTTTTGCTTGAGATTATCATTTAAAGGTGAAATTCCATATTGCAGACTTTTAATTCACAGTGTTGCATACTAAATTTTTGTTTTATTTTGTGCGTGGGCCATATCCAGCTGTGGTTAGGGTTTACTCCTGACTCTTTACTCAGGGATCACTCCTGGTGGTGTCAGAGGACCATAAGTGGTGCAGGTCGTAGAACCTGGGTTGGCCGCATGCAAAGCAAGCTCCCTACCCATTGTACTATTTTTCTGACCCTACTAAACTTTTTTTTTTTGGTGTGATACTTTATTTAAATACCGTGATTTACAAAATTGTTTACAATACAGCTGTTTCATGTATTCAATATTCCAACAACAGTCTCACCACCAAACTGAACTTCCCTCCATCTCTGTCCCCCTTTTCCCATCCACCCCTCACACTTGCTCCCTTAGCAGGCACAAAATAATTTACTTTATGCAGCTTGTTACAACATATATTTTGTAGTGGTGTTACTGAAGCCTTTGAAGATATGCTGAACTGTTAGGTGCGAGTTGAGCCTGCTGTGTTATTGTTTTCATTCACTGAGCTTAGTGGGCTTCTACGCAACTTTCCCATCTAATTTTTTTGTGCTTCTACTGGGCTGTCAGCTCTGTAATGCTTAGAGGCCATATATGCAGGCTCTGAGTTTCATGACTTGGACTGCCCCCATTCACCAAGGCTCCTGATGGCTGGGCCTACCTGGAGTAACTCAACTATTAACATCCCTCCATCTGTCATGAGGCTGAATTGCCTACCAAGCTATTTTTAAGCAAACATGTCTGAATAAAATTTGTAAATGACAGTTAAGCCATGTAGTATAAAATTGTTGTGGAGTTCAAATAATTTTGAAGAAAAGGCCAAATTCTTTTTTTTTTTTTTTGATTTTTGATCACACCCAGCCTTGTACAGGGGTTGCCCCTGGCTCATGCACTCAGGAATTACTTCTGGCATTGCTTGGGGGACCATATGAGTTGTTGGAAATAGAACCCGGGTTGGCTATGTGCAAGGCAAATGCCCTACCCACTGTGCTATTGCTCCAACCCCCAAAAAAGACCAAATTCTAATTGTGAATTTTATTTATAATCTTATAATAGCTCTTTGGGACATCACATGGTCCTGGTCATCCAACTCTGGAACCATATAGAGTGACATATAAACCTTACCCATCTTCTGTACAGAATAATGGCTCTCCAGCCCAGGAAATAGCAGGAGGTGACATGTTTGAAGACCTGCAACAACAATTTTTAGGAACTAATGAAAGTATGTATCAAGTTTATATATATTTTTCTTAGCAAAGCAATGAGATTTGGTCACTTTAAACATATTTGAGGATTATTATTATTATTTTAAATAATCCCATAATTTCTAGAAATATATTCTGAAGCATTTATGAATAAACTGACGTGAACTCAGTTCCATGGTTACTAATATATACTTATTTTTTAATTAAGACCACACCTAGGGATTCTGGGGTTACTCCCAGCCCTACTTTGGGGGAAGAGGTCTTTCCCGAAGGATCTTTTTTGTTAGTTTGTTTTGGGGCCACACCTCATGATGCTCAGGGGTTATTCCTGGCTCTTCATTCAGGAGTCAGACCTGGTGGTGCTTAGGGGACCATATGGGATCAAATCGTGCGAGGAAGGCCACATGTAGGAAATGCCCTACCTATTGTACTATCATTCCAGCCCTCATCATGGCAGATTTTGGGGACTATGTGGTGCTGGGGATTAAACCGGGGTTTACCACATGGAGATAGAGCCATAAGTATTGCTTTGGCAGCTACTTATTTTTAATTAGCCAAAATGATGGCGATTCACAATCATTTTAAACCAGTGACTTTACAAATTTTCTGTTGTACCACAATAAGTATATATGTTAATTTTGTGATCCATAACATTTATTTGTATAAATAAGTAAATATAACTGAAATGGCCATGAAATTATGCTTTTTTTAAAACTACATGATGTACTCTGACATATTCTATTAACATCTTTTAAAAAAGAATTCTCCAACTTTGGTACATCTTCATAATGGAATACTATGCAGCTGTTATGAAAGATGAAGTCAAGAAATTTGCTTATTAGTGGGTGGTCATGGAGAGTATCATGCTAAAGTGAAATGAGTCAGAAAGAGAGGGACAGACATAGAACGACTGCACTCATTTGTGGAATATAAAATATAATATGAGACTAACACCCAAGGACAGTAGAGACAGGGCCAGGAAGATTGCTCTATATTTGGAAGCCTGCCTTATGAGCAGGGGGAGAAGGCAGCTGGGATAGAGAAGGGATCACTAAGTCAGTGATGGTTGTAGGGATCACTCGGGATGGGAGATGAGTGCTGAAAGTTGATAAAGGATCAAGCATGATGGCCTCTCGGAATCTAAATTGCAAACTTTAATGCCCTAAGTAGAGAGAGAGTAAGAAGGAAATTGTCTGCCATAGAGGCAGAGGATGGGGTTGGAAGGGGGGAGGGAAGGAATACTGGGGACATTGGTGGAGGAAGATGTGCACTGGTGGAGGGATGGGTGTTCGATCATTGTATGACTGAAACTCAAACAGGAAAGCTTTGTAAGTGTAGCTCACAGTGATTCAATAAAAAATAAAATAAAATTTAAAAAATGCCTTAAAAAAGAGTTCTCCATCTGCCAAATTAATTTAGTGTGTAAAGTTTAAAAAGACATCACCATTAATGATTAAAGATTTTTATTTTGATATTTTTATCTAACTAGTTGTCTTTAATTCAAAAGGAGATGCTGCAGAGAATATGCAAGTAATTCAACTTCAGGTTCTTAACAAAGCAAAAGATAGACAACTGGATAATTTAGTTGAAAAATTGAGTGAAAGTGAACGTCAAATAAGATATCTAAATCACCAGCTACTGATGATCAAAGGTAAGATAACTAAGCTCCGAGCTTCTTTTGAGATACACTCGATGTTGTTTCCGATGGCCTCACTCATTTTAAAAAGCAGAGAGAGGCGATGTTCTTGGTCAGAAGGCTCATGGGAATGAAACAAGAAACCCAGGACTTTAGACACCTTGCCTTGAAATACACTACTTTGAGAGTATATTTTCCCCGTTTCTCTATTAAACTGGTAGAATCAATAAACATTACTGAGTGAGGCTGACAGCCTTGTTAGCAACTCGAATGTTGCGAATTCCTTATGTAAGTTTACTTTAGGTGAAGTAGCCGAATGCCTAAAAAGTCTTGCACTCCGTTTATAGGACATTTCTGAGTAAAAATTAGCATACTGTTTAAATCCAAGTGAGAGTAGGTGATCTGGACTCTTTGGTAGTGCCAGCGAGAAAACAGTGCCATATCTGGGAGAAGCACATAAAGTCGATATAGAGTCACACTGTGATTGCTCGCCCTCTGTGCTTTCTGGGGTTTTGGGTTAATGTTGAACTTTCATTTGTAGAGTAATTTTGTGACTGAACTTTAGTTCATTTCAAACTTAATTGATAGTGAAAAGGTCTCTTTCTCTAATGCTCATAAAATTTATTTTGAGAAAAGAGCTAGTGAACTGTTAGAGTCAAGGATGTGGGAAGAATTTTAGGTGGGTGAAATTAAGAGTTCAATGCAGGAATCGCTAAGAAATCGTCCTTAAATTTTTTCTTAGATTAGTAAGGATGGTTTGTTATACGTAAGTATGTAGCCTCTCAAGTATACAGATACTCAGTATTTAAGAAATCTAGCAATAATTGGAACTATTTCGGCCCACAAAAGGATGCAGTAACATTTTTTTTTGATGCAGTAACATTTTTGAAGAAAGTGTTTCTGATTATCTACAGGTCTCATTTATTTTTATTTTTTGGATCATTTTCTCTACTTTAAATGAACTAACATTCATTGTTGGATTTGAGTGCAATACCAATTGTATGTGACATAAATCTGATATTTGTAAGGAATATAGCAATTGGTGCCCTTCTACAGTAACATTATTTCAACATTTTAATACTCTAGATGAAAAGGATGGTTTGACTCTCAGCCTTTGTGAATCCCAGAAACTCCTTGAGAATGGAAAGGAGAGAGAGATACAGCTTGAAGGACAAATAAAAGCTCTGGAGACTCAAATACAAGCATTAAAAGCCAATGAAGAACAGGTAGATATTTACCTTGCATGTCTATGGTAAAAACTTAGTCATTAAAGAGAAAAGTCATGTCACTTGACAAACTTTTAGATTTGTAGTACTAAATTTAGAAGGACTTTGAAATTTATCTTTTTGTACCCTGTTATGCTTTTCCAACCCTTATTTTGAAGTTGTGCTGCAATGTCCTAGGTATCTGCACCAGAGTTGGAAAGACCACAGACCACAGCTCCTCTCTGGTCTCCATCATCCAGTCAACCACTAAGTTTGCTTGAGTCTCTACATTTCTCTCCACCCCTATGTCCCTATGTCCTTTCCTTTTTTTTTTTTTTTTTTTTTTTTGGCTTTTTGGGTCACACCTGGCGATGCACAGGGGTTACTCCTGTCCCTGCAGTCAGGAATTATTCCTGGTGACCCTATGGGATGCTGGGAATTGGGTTGGCCGCAAGGTGAATGCCTTGCCTGCTGTGCTATAGCTCCAGTCCCACCCGTATGTCCTTTATTGAGAATTTTATCTATTACAAGTCTCTTCATTAGTCTCTTCCTCAAGTTCTCTTATGATTATCTGAATAATCTTTTTAACATTATATCATCTTTCTGATTATGCTCTTCCTTAGTTTTGGGACTTGAGGGCCTTTTTACTTCCAAGGATCTTTTGTATACGCATAACATCAATGCAGGCAGATGGACTCAAGCAGGCAACAAAAAGCATACATGTCTGTGACATCATGTATCAAGACCAGAACAGATAATTTTGTGGATATATATGTCCTGTGAGCTGGACATTCCCTCCCCCTGCTTATTTAAAACTTTACAATGATCATCTAGCACCAGTCTCTCCATCAGTGTCATCTTCCCTCCACCAGTGTTTCTAAGTTCCCTCCCATGTAGATGTTCAATGACAGATGAATAGATTATGATGATGCGATACACAATGAAATATTAATGCAGCTTCAAGGAACAATGAAATTGTGCAACTTGCTGCAACCTGGATGGAACTGGAAGGCATCTCTATTCTTTTATATTTCTCAAATTCAGCAGTCTATTGTTTTTATGTACTTGAATATCCCATACAAGGCACTTATAGTCAGAAGTCTTTCTCTGGAAAGCTCTTTCCATACCAGAATGCTGTGTGGTTAGAGGGTTAACAGGCCCTGCTCATAGTTTCCCCCTTTATGTCTCCTGCCTTCCTCTGTTTCTACATCTGTTATATTAGACCTAGAACATCTTGAAGGCAAGAATAGGCTTCCTTCCTCTTCATAATCCCATCACATGAATCCAGTATGTATATAATAGGTGGTTAGTATATTTTAAGTCAATATTGCTGCACAGAATTGATCTAACGTATAGTTTTTTTCTTGGTATTTCTCTACTCATCTTCTTATACGGCTATGACTATAGCTTTATTGTGGATTGAAATTTGGTAACTTAGGGCAATTGTTGTTGTTGTTGTTGTTGTTGTTTAACATGATTATTATCATTTGGTTTTTGGACTAAAACTCAATTTGGTTTGGGGCAGTGATACTCAGGTATTGTTAATATTCCTAAGTGTACACGCTGGAGCGATAGTGCAGTGGGTAGAGCATTTGTCTTGCATGGGTTGACTTGGATTCAGTCCTTGACACCTCCTGTTGTCTCCTGAGCCTGCTGGGAGTGATCCCTGGTCTCAAAGCCAGGAGTAAGCCCTGAGCACAGCCAAGTGTGGCACAAAAAAATAAACAAAAAATAATCTTAAGTGTTTTTTTATTTTTTTTCTTTTTTTTATTAGTGAAAAACCATGAGGTACAGTTATAGGCTTACAAATTTTGTGCTTGGGTTTCAGTTATACAATGATCAAGTCCCCATACCTCCACCAGTGCCCGTCATCCATCCCCATGGGTCCCAGCACCCCCCCCACCCTCATCCCCCCCCCCCCCCCCCCCCGTCCCATCCTGCCTCTGTGGCAGAGTATTCCCCCTTGTTCTCTCTCTCTTCTTTTGGGTACTGTGTTTTGCAAGAGAGGCTTTGAGTGGCAATCATGTTTGGTCTATCGACTACTTTTAGCATGCTTCTCCCACCCTGGGAGGGCCCTCACAACACCCTTCATTTGGTACTCTCTTCTCTATCTGAGCTTCCTTTTCACCTAGCACGTGTGGCTGGCCTTCCATTCATGGAGCAAAATTCCTGGTACTAATCTCAGCCATTCCTGTGTGTCACTCTCCCTTTTTGTTGCTTTATGTTCCCCAGATGAATGCAATCTTTCTGTGTCTATCCCGCTCTTTCTGACTCATTTCGCTTAACATGATACTTTCCATGTAGTACCACTTGTATGTAAATTTCATAACTTCATCTTTTCTAACAGCTACATAGTACTCCATTGTGTAAATGTACCAAAGTTTCTTTAACCAGTCATCTGTTCTTGGGCACTCAGGTTTTTTCCAGATTCTGGCTATTGTAAAGAGTGCTGCAATGAACAAACAATTGCAGATGTCACTTCGACTATACCTTTTTGCCTCTCTGGGATATATTCCCAGGAGTGCTATAGCTGGGTCAAATGGCAGATCAAATTCTAATTTTTTGAGAGTCGTCCATACTGTTTTCCAAAAGGGTTGGACCAGCCGGTATTCCCACCAGCAGTGAAGGAGGGTCCCTTTCTCGCCACATCCGCGCCAGCACCGGTTGCTTTTGTTCTTGTGGATGTGGGCCAGTCTCTGTGGTGTGAAATGATATCTCATTGTGGTTTTGATCTGCATCTCTCTGATGATTAGTGATGTAGAGCATTTTCTCATGTGCCTTTTTGCCATTCGGATTTCTTCTTTGCGAAAGTTTCTGTTCATTTCCTCACCCCATTTTTTGATGGGGTTGGGTGATTTCTTCTTGTGGAGTTTAACCAGTACCTTGTATATCCTTGATATCAACCCCTTGTCGGATGTGTACTTGGTGAATATCCTTTCCCATTCTGTAGGCTGTCTTTGTATTTTGGTCACTGTTTCTTTGGAGGTGCAGAAGCTTCTTAGTTTAAGATAGTCCCATTTGTCTATCTCTGTTTTCACTTGCTCGGCCAGTGGCGTGACATCTTTGAAGATACCATTAGCTTCAATATCATGGAGAGTTTTGCCGACTTTGTCTTCAATAAACATTATGGATTCTGGTCTGATGTTGAGGTCATAAATCCATTTTGATCTTACTTTTGTGCATGGTGTTAGGTAGAGATCTGAGCCCACTTTTTTGCATGTAGCCGTCCAATTTTGCCAGCACAGTTTGTTGAAGAGGCTTTCCCTGCTCCATTTCACTTTTCTTGCCCCCTTATCAAAAATTAGATGATTATATGTTTGGGAGGAAATGTCAGTACATTCAACATAGACTCAAAACCAAACCTAAAGCAAGGCCTAAAGGGGCTACTATAAGAAAAGACAAACCCTACAACCACAACACACCCGCACAGAAACATGACACAAAACCCCATAACCATTCTCTCTCTCAATGTCAACGGTTTAAATTCACCAGTTAAGAGACACAGAGTGGCAAAATGGATACAGAGACAGAACCCAACATTCTGCTGCCTACAAGAAACTCACCTCAACAGCCAGAGCAAACACAGACTCAAAGTCAAAGGATGGAATACAATCCTGCAAGCAAACAACTCCCTCAAAAAAGCTGGGGTGGTCATACTAGTATCTGACAACATTAATTTCACCTTGAAAAAGATTAGAAGGGACAGTAAAGGCTATTTTCTCTTCATCAAGGGATACGTACAACAGGAAGAAATCACACTCTTAAATGTATACGCACCTAATGAGGGAACAGCTAAATATTTAAAACAACTGCTAACAGATTTTAAGGAGGACATCACTACCAACACAATAGTACTTGGAGACTTCAACATCGCCTTATCACCTCTGGATAGATCAACACGAACAAAACCCAGCAAGGAATTATTGGCTTTGAAAGAAGTAATAGAAGAGAAAGGGCTTATGGACTTATACAGGGCTTTACACCCCAAAAAGAAAGAATACACATTCTTCTCCAGTGCGCACGGAACATTTTCCAAAATAGACCATGTGCTAGGACACAAAACATACCTCAACAGAATCAAGAAGATAGAAATAGTATCAGCCATCTTTTCAGACCATGATGCACTGAGGATAGAAGTGAATCACACACAGACACGGAGAACCAAATCAAACACCTGGAAATTAAACAACTCGATGCTGAACAATGAATGGGTCAGGAACGAAGTCAAGGATGAAATCAAAAGATACCTGGAAACAAATGAGAATGAAGACACAAACTACCAGAACTTATGGGATGCAGCGAAAGCTGTATTAAGGGGAAAATTTATAGCTCTGCAAGCCTATCTTAAGTCGATAGAAACGATGCACATAAACAATTTGACCTCACAGCTCAAGACCTTAGAAAAGGATCAACAGAAAGAGCCTAAATCAGGCAGAAGGAAAGAGATCATAAAACTTAGAGCAGAAATCAACGACATGGAAAACAAAGAAACAATCCGAAAGATCAATGAAACCAAGAGCTGGTTCTTCGAGAAAATAAATAAGATAGATAAACCACTAGCAACACTCACAAAGAAACAGAGAGAGAGAACCCTAATAAATCGAATCAGAAATAAGAATGGGGATATCACAACAGAAACTAAAGAAATTCAAGAGATCATCAGAGACTACTTTGAAAGTCTCTATGCCACGAAACACGAGAACCTAGAAGAAATGGATAAATTCCTGGATCTCTACCATCTCCCAAAGCTGAATCAAGAAGATATAGAGTACCTGAATAGACCCATTCACATCAAGGAAATTGAAACTGTAATCAAAAGTCTTCCCAAAAACCAAAGCCCAGGCCCAGACGGATTTACTAGCGAATTTTTCCAAACATTTAAAGAGGACCTATTGCCAATTCTTCTCAAGCTTTTCCAGGAAATTGAAAAAACAGAAACTCTCCCAAACAGCTTCTATGAAGCCCATATCTCTCTAATACCAAAAGGAAACAAAGACACCACAAGAAAAGAAAACTACAGGCCAATATCCCTGATGAACACGGATGCGAAGATTCTCAACAAAATACTAGCCAATAGAATACAACAACTCATCAAAAAGATCATACATCATGACCAAGTGGGATTCATCCCAGGGATGCAAGGATGGTTCAACATTCGGAAATCAATCAACATAATCCATCATATCAACAAAAGAAAAGATAAAAATCATATGATCATATCAATAGACGCAGAGAAAGCTTTTGACAAGATCCAGCACCCATTCATGATGAAAACCCTTGCCAAAATGGGGATAGAGGGGACTTTCCTCAATATAGTTAAAGCCATCTACCACAAACCTACAGCAAACATCATCCTCAATGGGGAAAAACTGAGACCCTTCCCCCTAAGGTCAGGGACGAGACAAGGATGCCCACTCTCTCCACTACTGTTCAATATAGTACTGGAAGTACTTGCAATAGCGATTAGGCAAGAAAAAGATATTAAGGGCATCCAGATAGGGAAAGAAGAAATTAAGCTCTCACTATTCGCAGATGACATGATACTATACTTAGAGAACCCTAAAACCTCTACCAAGAAACTCCTAGAAACAATAGGCTTGTATAGTAAAGTGGCAGGCTATAAAATCAATACCCAAAAATCCATGGCATTCCTATACGCAAATAGTGAAAGAGAAGCAAGTGACATCAAGAAAACAATCCCATTCACAATTGTGCCCCAGAAAATCAAGTATCTAGGAATCAGCTTAACTAAGGAAGTAAAGGACCTGTACAAGGAAAACTACAAAACGCTACTTCAGGAAATAAAAGAGGACACGAGGAAATGGAAAAATATCCCCTGTTCATGGATGGGGAGAATCAACATCATCAAAATGGCAATACTTCCCAAAGCACTATACAAATTCAATGCAATCCCTATAAGGATACCCATGACATTCTTCAAAGAAATGGAGCAAACACTCCTGAAATTTATATGGAACAATAAGCCCCCACGAATAGCTAAAGCAATTCTTGGGAAAAAGAAAATGGGAGGAATCAACCTCCCTAACTTCAAACTCTACTACAAGGCAGTAATAATTAAAACAGCATGGTACTGGAACAAAAGCAGAGCTGCAGACCAATGGAACAGAGTTGAATATACTGACATTTCCTCCCAAACTTATTTTTTTTTTAAACTGAAGGGTAAGGGGTGGGATCCACCAAAGTCAGGAGGTCTCGGGGCCTCTCCCGTGATTCTTGCCAACTGGATTGGGAGTTCAACGCAAAAGCCTGAAGATATGGTGCTATGAGGGCCTTGTGGTGAAACAGATTACTTGGGTAATCCTAGCAGGCCCTTGGGTCCTCTTGAGCTGTGGCTGGCTCTACTCAGGAGAGTATGTGCTGCCAGAGATTGAACTGGGGCCAGCCGCATGCAAGGGGAACACCTTTGGTCCTATACTATGGCTACGGCCCCTTTTACTTTTTTTTTTTAATTTGTTAATGACAGATTATTACCATATACCTAAATGGAATCTTTGGGTCATACCCAATGTTACTCCCAGCTCAGTTCTTGGAGGACCATGTGCACTGCTGGGGATTAAGTCAGGGTCAGTTGCATGCAAGGCAAACACCCTGCTTTTCCTGGCCCCTACCATTTTTAACTTTATAAGAACTGATAAAAGTTATTAAGGCTTTGAATTGTTGCTATGTTGTAGAAGGTTATAAATTTGTAGTCTTTTGAGATCAGAAATTGTATTACAGAAAATAGGGTGGCATTAAACCAAAACCACAGAATCACCCAGTGTACTGGTTTCTTATTTCTGTAACAGTTTGCCACAGACTTAATGCTTTAAAATGGATTGTGGTTTGGGGCCAGAGCAATTGGGGCCAGTGGGTAGGGTGTTTGCCTTACACACTGTTGACCTGAGTTCGATGATCCTCGGCATCCCTAGGGTCCCCTGAGCACTTCCAGGTGTAATTCCTGAGTGCAGAGCCAGGAGTAACCCCTGAGTGTTGCCGGGTGTGTCCCAAAAAGCCAAAAACAAACAAAACAAAATAAAAAACCCAAACAGCATGGATTTATTAGCTCCCAGCTTCGAGGTCAGAAGACTTGACATGAGTTTCACTGGGCTGGAAAAGCCAGGTGTCCGCGGGGCGAGGTTGCCTTTAGGAGCCAATTGGGAGGACCCATGCTCCGACCTCCAGAGTTGCTCTGCATTCCTTTGCTTGTGACCCATTTCCATCTTTCAAGTCAGTGTCACTGATTCATACTTTGCTGCCTCATTTTTCATTTAAATGACCAGCATGTGTGTGTGTGTGTATATATATATATATATATATATATATATATATATATATATAATATCGGCTTTATCCAGACAATCTAGGATATTCCTATTGTCAGTTGATCTGATTAGCAAATTCAGTGTGGGCTGCAGCTTTACTGTTCCCTTCTCCTAGAACATATTATCTGCACAGTTTTTGGGGATTAGAAGATATCTCTGGGGGAGTCATTATGTAATTTCACAGGCACTTGTGCAACAGCTCTACAGTTAAGTGCTTTGAGAAGTTTTAGTATGTGACCGCTGACAGGTTTCCAGAGTGTAAAGAAGCGGAGTCATCTTTGGTTTTGGGCCACACCCAGCGATGCTCAGGGATAACTCCTGGCTCTGCACACAGGAAGCGCTCCTGGCAATGCTCAGGGGGTTTATATGGGATGCCTGGGATCAAACTCAGGTTGGCTGAGTGTAAGACAAGCACCCTACATGCTGTACTCTCTCTCCAGCCCCAAAGCAGAGTCATTTTTTATGACCTAACAATTGACTCCTGTGAGAAAGTTTGGGAAGCATTGCCATAGTAGCAGGATTACATGCCAGATACCCACATAACCATCATGCTGCGTAAAATCCTTTCTCACTCTCCCCGGGTGACTACCAGTTTTGTTTTGTTTTGTTTTTCCCCTTCGTGAATGATGTTCCTGGCAATCCTGGTGGTTTCCAGCTAGGAAAGTCCTTTTTGGAGGGGAGCAGAAGGGGACACACCCGCTGGTGCTCAGGAGCGCCTCCTGGTCTGTGCTAGTGCCCTAGAATTCAAACTGGACATGGAGTGACATGTGGCAAGTGCCTTATCCCCTGTACTCTCTCTGGCTCCCCAGCTCAAGAAGTCTGACGGATCTGGGCAGCTCTGGGCAAACCTCGCTTCTCTCTTGGGAAGCCTGGTTGATTTTTAGAGTTACTCATCAATGGTGTCAAAACCTGGTAAACATGGATGTCCTGTTTGTCCTTACCAGATAATTAAGAAGTCCAGAACAACTGAAGTGGCGCTGGAAAGTATGAAGCAGCAGCTGCTGGAGCTCCATCATTCTGAGTCACTTCAGCGGGCCAGAGAGCAGCACGAGAACATCGTAAAGGGACTCACAAAGAAGTATGAACAGCAGGTCTCGACCTTACAGAGCAATCTGGACGCCACAGTCACTGCACTGAAGGAACAGGTCGGGATGATTTCAAGGGACCCACCATTTTATCAACCACTAATGCTGGTTATTTTTGTGGAACTGGCGTCTGGTGGTTTGTCAAGTAGGAAACTGAGTTTGTAGCAGCAGGTCTTAGGCTGTGAATAAATCCTCAATGGCTTTTATCTAGGAATTTTTCCCGAGAGCATAATTTGGAAATTATTCTTCCTCCAGACTCACTTAGCACTTTCTCGATTCTCACATGAACTGAATTTCATAATTTACAGGGTCTTTATACATGTTCACATTGTTCTAGAGCAAATACAGACTAAAAGGAATGAGTGTTCTGAGAGTTGGCCGGAACTTAAGAGTCTTCCTGGGAGTGAGCCAGTGACAAGGCTTTCTTTCTTCATCCTCCCAGAATTTGGTAATTAACCTGTCAGTAAAGGTTATCTTGAAATGGCTCTTGGGAGAGAAGAGTTTATTTTGAGAGTAGTATCATAAATGAAAAGAGGAAGAAAGTCTGACCTAAAAGCATTCAGTGTTTATTATTTTGACCCAAAGGAATAGAATATTGTAAGTGGAGTGTGCGTCAGCTAGTAGGTTTGCTTGTGCTACAAAGCCTCAGGTAAAACATGAACGAAAATAATAGAGTTGCACAGTGTGTTTTTCTTAATGTAATTTCAGAGCTAATTTAACCTAAGGAAATAGAGAAGAAAAATAAGATGGGAGGGTCTGGAAAATCCCACTATACTTAAAATTCATTCTGATTTGGGTTATTTTTTTTATGCACACAGTTGCCCCTAACTTTTTCCATGATTTAAGTGAGACTGTATAAGGCTTTGTTAGTAGCATTAATAATTATTTATGTGCCATTTTTGTGTACATTGAGTTTTTATTAGGTTTCTTTTCCTCATACTCTTTTTGGTGCCATACCTTGACTCTGTGCTCAGTGGCCACTGTCTCTGACATGCGTGGGGTACCATGTCAGAGGTTTTCCTGGGACTGAACCCCTTTGAGCATTGTCTCTGGCCGTGTGTGTGTGTGTGTGTGTGTGTGTGTGGGTAAAGTGAATTTGATCAGGTGGTGGTTATATATATTTGGGAAAAGATAAATGCTCTGCCAAATTACTGAAAAGTCTAGAAGTTTGAATGGAACCCAAAGCATTTTTATATTATTTTTAATGGAAGGAATTTAGGTATCATTAATTTTCGTCTGCATTTGTGATAGCTGGGAGTGGGTTGCTCTTTGAGAGTGCTCCTATGTAGATGATGAGGAGTGGAGTCGGATGCTGCATTGAGAGGATCTTTATCTCCACTGATGCAGACACAGTTTCCCAAGGGAGAACTGGCAGGAGCTCATAGAGTGGTTAGCTCTGTACCCACTCCAGTCTCTTCCCCGCCTCCCACATCCTGCTCACTTCAATGGGTAAAACTTAGACTAGAACATCAGATTCTAGTCTTGGTTCTGCACTGACCTGGCTTCAGACCCCTGGACCATACATTCAAGGTATTGGTAAGGTCTTCCTCTACTGTGACATTTTGTGACTCATTTTAATTTAATTTTGCTTTTGATTTTTTTGCTTTTTGGGTCACGACCGGCGCTGCACAGGGGTTACTCCTGGTTCTGCACTCAGGAATTATCCCTGGCGGTGCTTAGGGGACCATATGGGATGCTGGGAATCGAACCTGGCTCAGCTGCATGCAAGGCAAACGCCCTACCTGCTGTGCTATTGGTCCAGTCCCCGCTTTTGGTTTTTGAGCCACACCTGGACATGCTTGTGAGCTACTCCTAGCTCTGTGCTCGGAATTGCTCCAGGTAATAGTCAGAGGGTCATGGAGTGTCAGGCGAGGGAAGAACCCAGGTCTCCTATATGCAAAACATGCACTCAACTTGTTGAGCTCTCTACCTGTTATTTATTTTTTAAATAGAACACAGTCTGGATGTTAACCTCTGCATATAATTTTATAACTGCTGTATGTAGTGATGAACCCAGTGTTCTAATGTTCTATGGTTTCTTTCTGGAAATGTTTCTTTCTTTCTTTCTTTCTTTCTTTCTTTCTTTCTTTCTTTCTTTCTTTCTTTCTTTTTGGGTCACACCCAGTGATGCACAGGGTTTACTCCTGGCTCTGCACTCAGGGACCATATGGGATGCTGGGAATTGAACCCGGGTTGGCCGCGTGCAAGGCAAACGCCTTACCCGCTGTGCTATTGCTCCAGCCCCTGGGAATGTTTCTTACAGTATTTTTTTTTGTGCTGAAAGTTTGCTGTCACTTAGCCCAGAAGTATTTGATGCTTCGTTGCTGGTCACATCCTGGGAACCAGGGACACTTCTAGCGGTGCTTGGGAAACCTTGTGGTATCAGGTGGAGATCAGGGTTTTGCACATGCAAAGCATGTGCTCTGCAACTTGAGCCACATCCCCAGCCTGACTCAAAATTATTGAAATAAAATGTCTATGCAGGGGATCAGAGAGATAGAGAGGTAGATTGCTTGCCTGGCTTCTGGCTGACCAGGGTTCAATACTCAGCACCATGTATTGCCCCCGAGAACCACCAGATGTGATTCCTGAGCACAGAGCTAGCATAAGCCCTGAGCACAGTGTGTCCACACACACAAAAAATAAACAAACAAAAAAATCCCCCAAGCAAAAACCACACACACAACTCAGTTTCCTTTATCTCAGAATCCAGATTGAGATTACCAATTGGAGAGGTGTCATACATGCAAGCAGGAGCGAGGGAGATGACTGTCTGGAATCAGAAAGGTGCAAGTGTCATGTAAACACAAAGGGTACTTACCTACATACATACATATCGCTACTACATTTTGCCCCTTCCCCTTTAAAAAAGAGGTATAAAAATATTTTTGTGTCATAGAAACCTTTTCTGAATACATTCTGTTGGGAAGGTTGCAAAAAAAAAGTAAAACAACTCTTGGACAATAGTAGTAAGGTCTGAATAGAAGAGTTTTCTTTCAGAAAAGCCTGAATGTGTTTGCTAATGTCTGCTATCTGAGCAGTTCCTCTGGCATCCACCATCCATACACAGTTGTATGTGGATGTTCCTGGTGTTAATAGCATAGATGTTCGCACAAGGGACATTGGGTAGTTACAGATGTGTAACCTCGCAGCTCCTCATGCAGTCCTAACTAGGCGGCATTGAGTTGACAGATCTTCAGAAATTGTGGATATTCTTTTCTTTGGGGTATAAGTTGAAGGCATGTCTGTTTTGGGGCCACAGCCTGGGATGCTCAGGATTTGCTCCCCACAGTTCTGGAAGATCATGTGGGGCTGGGGATCAGACCCAGCTTCTAGCATGCAAAGCCTGTGCACCAAACCTTTGAGCCATCTTCTTGGCCCCCAAATGCAGTTTTTTTCGTTAAAGTTTATTCAGATTTTTTCAAGATGTTCATAACTCCCCGTGCAAGAGGTTGAACATCACTGCTTTATAAAAAAGTTGTTTTCAGTGGAAAGGCCCACTTTGTTGAGCAGTTATATTATTCCCATTCGTTTAACACACTTTTATTGAACAACTGCTAAACATCATGATCTAAACAGGCTTTATGTGTATCTTATTATATTTTTAAAGAAAATTCAGGATGAGGATTGTCTTTTTGTCTATGCGATGCAAGAAGCAGTGATATATGATATAGGTGGTTTTTAAAAAAATGTCCATAATTAGTAATATTTTGAGAAAATATGGCTTGTAAAATTGTATTATTCATCTAATGTTTTCCTTAACCATCTTTAAGCCATTTTCTTTTCTGGGTAGAAAAGATCGTAAACATGGACAGCATGTTTTAGCATTTCTTTATTCTTTTGCCTGAGTTCCTCTTCGTTTTGATGGTGTGGCAAAGAAGATAAGACATAGAATTTAACTTAGAGAATAACAACCCTTTGATACAAACTATCTCTTTTTTAGACCTTCTCCAAAACTGTTTTGTGCCTCTCTCTTTTATAGATGTGACATGGTGCAAGATCTTTCTCTGCAAACTATTCCCTTCCTCCTTCTGCTATTTTCAGAAATGTTGTTATACCATTAAGAGTTTCTTGATTTCTTGTTAGACTACTAAGAAGTCCTTATCTCCTTGATAGTATAAAACCTTTTTTTTTTAGGGACGGGAGAGATAGTATAATAGGCAAGACTCTTGCATTCCTCATTGCTACCTGTGTCCAGTACCCAGCACTCCACATGGTCTCCTGAGCTCCTCCAGGAATGGCCCCTGAGCACAGAGCCAGGCATAATCCCTCAGAACAACTGGGCATGACCCCTCCCCCGCAAGCAAAACTAAAACAGAAGCTTTTTTTAACCTGATTTTTACTGAATCTTCAGCTTTTAGATTACAGTTTCTGTGTCAAGATCTTTACCAAATATTTTTTCTTTAATGTTATATCCAAAGTCTATATTTCTCTTGGCTGTGAGATTTGCAGCAGATCTCTGTGAGTGACCAAATTCTCATTTTCCTGTGTACCATAATTTTGTTTAGTTCTCTTTGCTCTCAGATGTTCAGCTGTTATCTCTTTGCTACCACACTTGTCTCAGAAAGATTTATCAGTCTTGACTTCTGTGTTCGCACTTGAATTACTAATCATCATTTGCACTATTAATTTTGTTTTGCATCATCTGTTAAACATATTAACACTTATTTTATTGTGTTGATTTTATAGTACTTATGTTTTAATTTTATGAATATAATTGATTTCTCTTAAATTGTCAATAGGAAACAACATGACTTAAGTACTTATTATATATAGTCATTTTTCTCAGGCTGCCTTAAAATATTTACCTTAGACTTCATGTGCCTGTTCCCAATCTCTTATAAAAAAAAACTATGTGATCTTCTCAGCATAAAAATGTGACTTGTTTTTCTACCCCCTTTTGAACCCATGTTCACATTATCATTAATATCATCTTATTCATTGTGTTTGACATGTTACACTGATGCTTTCAAGCAAGCATCTCAAACTGGACTCGACATTAGAATCAATGTGGCAAAAGATTTGCGGTATTGACTAAACAGAAACCAATTTCTGAAAAATATTTTTCCCCCCAAAGCTTTATTTTACTAAAAAAAAAATTGGTAAAAAGTACTTAAAGCAAACATGGAGACATTATGAAATCGGATATAAACTTCACAGGAATTTTTAAGCCATGAAAGGATAATAGTCAAGGTTTATCCCTTTGCTCTGTTTAGGGCAAATTCTGTCTAATAATCATATGAAGTTTGCCTTATATTAGTATCCTGAAGACTTTTTTTTTTTTTTGGACTTTAATGGGTCCAATACAGACCAACATATCAGGCCCCAAATGCCTTCTTTCTGCTTCCAGATTTTTTCATGAAACTCCTATACTGCATGTGCTTATTTTCTTCTGGCTTTTCTAGGCAGCTTTAACCAGATATTTTAATTTACTCTTATGCTTCTCTCATCCTTTGCTATTTGCTTTGAAGTCAGCTGGGAAGCTTTAAAAATTATTTTAAATTTAAATTTTTCTTGGTGTTGGAGGACATATCCAGCAGTGCCAAGGATTGAACCCAGAACCATGAACATACAAGGCATGAAGTCTACCATTTCAGCTGTATGACTAGCTCCCTGTAATCTTTTGTGAATGAGAGGTGAAAGTTCCCTACTTGGGCACGGGAGTTCCATGACCCATTACTCCGCAGCACATTTTCTCTTCGAAGAAACAAATATATTTCACACAAGCTCTTATTTTATATATTCCCATAGATTTCTTTTATGTAGGTACATGCAGGTATATACACTCACATTTATCCTTCTGTTTTTGTCATTTATTTAAAACATTATTTTCTTTGCAACTCTCACTATAAGACACCCTATAAGCATTTTTGGAGAGATTATGAAGAGAAATAAAGGGAAACAAGTAAAAGACAGAAGGAGAGAACACAACAGATAAACAAATAAAGTTTAAAACAAGTTCAGAATAGGGAGAAATTATTTTTGGTTGCTCAGAAGAGAGTGAGCTTTTGGCTGTTGAAAATAGTGTGATTTTCCTTTTGTTATCTGTGTATCCTTGCTGCCTGGGGATACAAATTCCAGGGTTCAAATGGCTTGTCTAACTATGTATACAAACACTTCTACTGGCAGTGTACAATGCAAATAGGAATTTGGCACATTTCCTTTGACTTGAATAAAACCTAATTTTAGAATAATAGCTTCTTGTGGCTGTAGAGCAGGAAAGTCCTGGAGGAACGACCCTATTCAACATTTGTCAGCATAATTTCAAAAGAAATAACAACAGATTGAGAAGATGATGACACACCCAAGATCAGGTCCATTTGTTTTCCTGACTTGCAATCCTGTTCACGGTAACCTCACTATAGTAGGAAGGTACCACCATGTAATGGGTTCAGCTATGACTCTGTAGGATGTGAACTAATCATGAAAGTGACTTTTTGAATAATTTCTCTATTTAGGAAAACATTTGCTGTCGCTTGAAAGACCAAGTGAAACAACTGGAAAGGAATCAAGATGCCACCAACTTAGAAAAGACAGAGATTATTAGCAGGTTGACCAGAAGTCTTGAGGAAAGCCAGAAGCAGTGTGCCAACTTGCTGCAGTCAGGTGGGTGCTTGACTGCACTGTTGTCTCCTCAGAAGGCAGTCTACTACACAGACAAAAGATGGCCAGATCAGTGTAAAAATCATATATGCATAAAAGTGTTGGGCATAAAAGTGATAGCACAGGGCAATTGCCTTGCATGTGGCCGAACCAGGTTTGATTCCTCCGTACCTCTTGGAGAGTCTGGCGCGCTACCCAGAGTTTCCTGCCCGCATGGCAGAGCCTGACAAGCTCCCCATGGCATATTCGATATGCCAAAAATGGTAACAAGTCTCACAATGGAGACGTTACTGATGCCTGCTCGAGCAAATTAATGAACAATGGGAGGACAGTACTACAGTGCTACAGTATAAAATTGTAGTGAGTTTTCCTTAGATCACTTGAAAATTATAGGCAAGTATAAAGTGTAAAAAACCAGTGAACCCACTATGCAGGGATTGCTGTTAACATTTAAATTTTTCCCTCAAATGAAATAGATGCACACATAGGCAGTAGAGGCTATATTTTGTAGGGACTCCATTTCTGAAAGTATATAAAGCTAAATGTGCAAGAATAGAAGAGTAACATACGTGTTATGAAGTAGAGTACATCTTTGCTTTCACAACTGAAAGCTAAAAATGGTTGTGAAATCCCATTATATTTGCTTTTCAAGCTTGATCTTTTTTCCCCTTTCTATTTTCTTCTTATGCTTTTAAAGATTTTTTTTTTAAATTGAATAACCATTAGGCAAGCCCTTACAAAGCTATACATGATTAGGTTTTAGTCATACAGTGTTTCAACACTCAACCCTCCATCACTTACGTTTCCCAGCACCAGTATCCCCAGTTTGCCTCCTACACTCCTCATCCACCCCCAGCCTGCCTCAATGGTAGGAGCTTTTCTTCTCTCCTTCCTTCCATCCCTCCCTCCCCCTTCTCTGTCTCTTTCTGTCTCTCTCCTTTTGGGCATTGTGGTTTGCAATACAGATACTGAAAGGTTGTTGTGTATATCCCTTTACATACTTTTAAAATCTTAGTTGTTGTCCAGCGTGATCATTTATAGCTATTATTGTCACACTAGCCCCTTACCTACCCTGTGCCCCTCACACACTGGTGGTTGATTCCAACCATTGACCAGTCCTCCTAATCAGGCTTGATCTTTTATTATACAGTGTTTTGTACAACTTCTTTCATTTTGGGGGGGAAGAGGGCTTTTATGCAGTGCTCAGGAAGTCTGACCCCTGGCAGCAGTTGTTGGCCATTTGGGGTCGTGGCTCTGTATAAGGGCCTGTAGATGCAGTACTGCTTCGCCCTGTGATGTTGGGGTTAGCTGGGCCACCCCAGTATTCAGGGCCCTCTAGGACTATACCAGTGGTATTCAGTGACTTCTAGGATTGCACCCTTCAGAGTTTGATGCATGCAGGGCATGCACCTGAACCCATGTACTGCTTCTCTGACCACTTTCATTTTGTCTCCTGCTTACTATCTAACCACACACCTACCTACGTTTTATTTCATGCTTCAGACTTCTAGAATGATTCCCATGGTATTGAGTATGAGACAGAGGCTTCTTAATTTCAGCAATACCTCTCATTAATTTTCATAAATTATTTTAGAATAAAAGGCAGTAACGTAGTCAATGTTTATACGATTGCTACTGTACTGATTAAACTACCAAGTTTGATAAAATAGGTCACCTTGTAAAAATAGCTCAGTGGTTATCAGCTGGTTTATGAAAGTCACACTGGCATAAGAAGTCAGTTCAGATTGCTCAGACAGTGTGAGGGTTTTATTTCAAAGTTGAAAATACTAAGGTCAAAAACTGTCTTCATATGTGTTTGTGTTTTAAAGGGGGCAGAATTTGGTCCATCATCTTTACTAGGGTTTCTTCTTTTGGTTCTTTTATATATATTTTTTGTATTATATTCAGGGAATTTCTTTTATTGCCATCAAATACTTTGAAAATAGGATTTTTTGTTGTTGTTGTTGTTGAATAATATGCCATTATTCCTTTGCTTAACCATTTCCCAGATGCCGGTTTTTCTTTTTAGGAAACCCAACAAAGTCCTTTGAAATGGAAGGCTAATACATTAAAAATAACCAGGTTACTAAAGTTTCTTCAGGAAGGTCTTCCTTTGTTTCCTTTACATGTGGTGGGTGGAGGTGGTGGAAATGAAACATTTAGAAAGAAATATAAAGCAGCAAGACATCATTTCCTTATGACCCAGTAGAAGTGGGATCCAAAGATGTTTCTCCTTGATTCTCTATGAACTGGAATGTTCAGCTCTAATTAAGGAACTTTTGCTATGTTAAGAATCTGTTGGCACAACGGGTAGGGTGTATGCCTTGCACGCAGCTGACCCAGATTTGATTCCCAGCATCCCATATGGTCTCCTGAGCACCACCAAGGGTAATTCCTGAGTGCATGAGCCAGGAGTAACCCTTTTGTATCGCTGGGTGCGACCCAAAAATGAAAAAAAAAAAAAGAATCTGTTGATGTGACTAAGTTGAACCCAAGCTAGATCATTGTAAATCGTTGGGGCTCATTGTCTTTGACTTCCCAAAGACATATGAGGAGTTTTATTAGATCTTGGAAAGTGTTTTGACCAGATTTCTTGTTTCTGGGTCCCTCTGGCTATTTATCTATATGCTCTTAACGATAATGCATAATATAGCATACCTCTGCCTTCTGGAGCCCTAGTGGTCTATAGTGCTGTACACAGGAGGTACTTGATCCCTTTACGTGTGTTTCATTCTCCCCCCACAGGCTCAGTACAGGAGGTATCTCAGCTCCGTCTGCAGCTGCTTCAAGCACAGAAGTCACTTGCTATGAGTGAAAACATGAACAAAACTTTGCAAGTGAGTGTTACTCAGAGGAGACTCTGGGTCCCTGAACTAGATAATGATAATGGTTGCCTCACCTTTCTGAACTGGACCTTTTCTGAGAGCCGGGTCACTGGATCCAAACAAACCCAGGAGAGTTATGCACAATATCACCCAATATTTTGGCAGTCAAGCATGGGTTGGTCTAACTGCAGGGCTAGAGTCTTGTTCGTATGGCTGCCTGGCTGCCCCTTCTGCTCCAGGTCTACTTCCTCTTATTTTTAGCTCATTCCAGAAGATTATTTTATCTGCAGGTGTGGGGTGTCTTTATTTCCAGTGCTGCTTACACTTTCCACTGAAGGATGAACTTCGGGTATTACTGCTGCTGGCCAACTGAAGGGTTTTTGGCTTACCTGTTTACTCTCTGCTCCGTATTAGTAAGAAAGAAAAAATAAAAATAGGCTGCCATCAGCCTCCCAGCTTAAGGAATGCCCCCCTACCCCCCCAAAAAAGGGACCAGAGAGAGTACAGTGTATAGGGCGCTTGCCTTGAATGTGGTCTATCCAAGTTCACTTCTTGGCATCCCATATAGTCCCCTGAGCACTTGCCAGAAATATCCCCTGAACACTGCCAGGTATGACCCAAACATTTCTCCCCACCATTGTTCCTCCCCCCCAAAAAGAATGCTTTTCACGGAGGACAAAATGTCAGCAAGTTAGGTGTGAGAGAAATTGTTAATATTTGTATCCTCATTTAATTTTCCACTTATTCATTCAGTTTCTTGAAAACATGATTCATTGCTGGCCCTTATAAAGTTATTTTATGTGTGGCCAGGCTTGATACTTGATAGTGCTTCTGTCTGGTGGTATTAGGCTGGCAGTGCTGGGGGTTGGGGATCGTGCAATTCCTGGGCTGGAACCCAGTGCTTCGTGTATACCAAACACGGACTCTGCTATTTGAGCCACATCTCCACCCTTTGAAGTTATATTTTACGCATGCTGGTAAGGTATTGGAAGAAGAGTTTCAAATTTCTCCTGGTTATTAAAATAAAACTTGAAACATAGTGAGGGCAACAAATTCATTTATGTTGGGAAATAATTTTCACTTTTGTCTTTTAGGAAGAAGTAGCACAACTAAAAGATGAAATTTCTCTCTATGAATCTGCTGAAAAACTGGGAATACTTCCGAGCGACTCAGAAGGAGAGCTAAATGTGGAGCTTACTCAATCATATGTGGATTTGGGTATTAAAAAAAACAACTGGAAAAAGTCTAAAGTAAAGAGGTATCAAGAAAACACTTTAATTGCCCACATTTATCATGCTGACTATAATGGAAATAAGTGGCACCAAGTGTGTAATGATGACCTGACTAGGGGATTTTTTTTTTTTTGGCTAGCACTGTGGTCCTCAGGGCTAACTTCTGGCTCTGGACTTAGGGCTCACTCCTGGTGGGGCTCAGGCGGTTCTATGAGATGGAACTAGGGTCAGCTGCAGGAAAGACCGAAGTGCCTTACCCACTTGCTGTATTATCGCTCTGGCCCACTGAGAGTGCGTTCTTGAATGTGGGATAGTAAGTTTCAGTGATTTCTAACAAAATTAGAAATTTTATCTAAAATTAAAAGGTGGGGCTGGAGCAATAGCACAGCAGGTAGGGCGTTTGCCTTGCACGCGGCTGACCCGGGTTCGATTCCCAGCATTCCATATGATCCCCTGAGCACCGCCAGGGATAATTCCTGAGTGCCGAGCCAGGAGTAACCCCTGTGCATTTCCAGGTGTGACCCAAAAAGCAAAAATAAAAAAAAAATTAAATTAAAAGGTAAGAAAGATTAATTTAGTTAATATATGCAAAGTAAATTTTACAACTGAGATTAAGTATCTTCTGTTAAGGTGAGGCCATATTCTGTTATTTATTTATTTATTATATTTTGCCTTTTGGGCCACACCCAGCGACGCTCTGGGGTAACCCCTAGATCTGTACTCAGGAATTATTCCTGGCAGGCTGAGGATACCATATGGGGTTCTAGGGATTAAACCTGGATCAGTTGCCTACAAGGCTAACTCCCTACCTGTTCGACTATCGCTCCAGCCCCAAGGCCATATTCTTTGTAATACTGTATATTGAAACTAAGTACCTAGCATTTATCAGTAGTGCATGAGGAAGTAAGCCTTCATTTTCCCTAGAAGCCATATTATGTGCAGTCTTTAGCTACACTCGTTTTAAAGTAGGGATTACTTTTTATATCAACACTTAGCACAGGTAGTGTGGACATGTGATGGGAGGGAATACTTAATCGTCCTTCCCAGGGACTGGCAGGGGAGGGATGTGGTTTAGGCCTCATAAAATACTTAAAAGATAGGTGAGGAAGAGGCTGTCATTTTAAAGTTCTTGTTAATTTAGAAAGGTGCAAGTTTCTGGAGTTGAGCACAAAAGCGACTCGGGAGCTCTCTCCTCCCAGAGTGAGTTTGCATTTTGTGCAGTCAGGCTGAGAGAGACATATCTGAAACGGCGCTGTGGGCAGGGGGTTATTTTTTGCCTATTCGCTCTGCTGGCCCAGCACAAGAATGAGAAATGTGGGTGTTTGGAAGAGATTGTGTTCAGGCTTAGGAAAGTCTTTCTTTTATATGGGGGAGGGAGAGAGAGTTGGCCACACCAGGCGATGCTTAGGACTTACTCCTGCTCTATGCTTGGCTTCACTCCTGCCCCTGCTTGGGGAACCATATGCCGTGCAGGGCATCAAAGTGGGGACAGCCGCTCTAGCCTGAAAGTCTTTTGTGAATGCATTTGTTTTACAATGCCACCTTTTCATTTTATAGTCTTTTTTTTTCTTTTTGGGTCACACTGGCAATGCACAGGGGTTACTCTTGGCTCTGCACTCGGGTATCACTCCTGTGGGGCTTGGGGAACCCTATTGGATACCCAGGAGTTTGCCCAGGGCAAATGCCCTACCCACTCTCCTATTTATTGCTCTAGCCCATTTTTCTGGTCTGAATTTGCCATCATTACTGTTTGTGAGAGTGATAACTACCCACTGTGTTTTTGTTGCCATGTAGCTAAGTAAAAGTTTAGAAATATATAGACATATCTGGAAAGGTTCACACTTCACATTGGCTTTCAACGTATTTTAAACATTATTATAAGTCTATTTCCAGAGTAGTAGTCGGGGATTCCATAAATTGAAGTCTAAAGTGACACTGTGAAGTAAGATACTAATTCAGTTTAATAAGACTGTGGGTCTGGAGGTCAGTCTTTAGCTACACTCACAGCTACAAATCAGAAAGAAGCAAATGACAGAACTAGGTTATGTGACTTTCTGGCTCTTCTCCTGGGTCCATCTTCCCTTTACAAATCTGTTTGCAGTCAGAGTTATCTGGGAAGCGCATCTGGAGCTGGGTGTTGGGAGAGGTACTGCCATTGCTTCAGCAAGACAGCTCAGCTTTCCAAAGAGGAAACAAGAGGCTGCAACTATGATCCATAGCAGCGTGTCCACAGGCTTGATCCCGAGTAGTTGCAGAATGCCTGCTGTTGGTTAATTAAAGTGAAAGAAGATGAATGTGTGATATAACCAAACGTACTTATGTAGTACATGCCTGTATGTAAAATAGATGTTTGGGGAGCCACTAGGACCACATCCAGTGGTTCTGGTACTGGGCTGGGAGCATTTAGATTAAACTGAGGATCACTCACCTTCTAGGCATATCCTACATATCACTGGAACTGTCACCTGGATTTTATTTTTTAGACAGATTTACATGAGTTTATTTTGTTTTTGTGTTTTCGGATTGCACCCAGTAGTGCTCAGGGCTTACTTCAGTCTCTTCGCTCAGGGATGACTCCTGGCAAGGCTGGAAGGGGCGTTTGTGGTGTCAGGGATAGAACCTGGGCCAGCAGCATGCAGGGCAAGTGCTTTAACCGCTGTATTATTTCTCTGTCCCCCAAGTTTTAAAGTTTTAAAACTTCATCGTAGGCATCTGGAAAGTTTGCTGCTGTGAATGTCTCATTTCCTTTTCAAACCAGATTAATTTGTTCCAAGAAGCTAGTAGAAAGAGCAGCAGATTTGTTTTGAATCATGGTTGTGCCATTTGTCCTTGGGCAAATTTCTTGACTTTTATAAGTCTGTTTTCTTATCAGACTTTTCTGTTAAGTGAATGATACTTTGATGTTTGTATTAATCCTTGAGGATTATAAAGTAAGGATTCGAATAGATAATTACTGTAAGGGAATTTATGCAATATATTCTAGTGCATATTGGTGCTTAATTGTGGCTACTATTATTAATTCACTTTTAATTCAACACATACTTTATAAAAAGCCTTCGATCCTCATCTCAATTTTGGGAAAAATGTTGGATCCATTATTACCGTTTTAGAGTTGTGCAAACCTGAGTTGAAAAGCCAAACTCTTGCCCAAGAAGACAGATTATTAGCAGCAGAACCAAGCTTTTTAATTCAGAAATTTGTTGTTTGTATATCTTCTCTATATTAACATGAAAGTGAAATATTTTTGCCTTAAACTTTCTTTTTATCCCCTTAATTTTAGAGGATTAATATAATGTATATATTTAATCTTTTCAATGGATTTACTTTATCTTCACAGCTACTTAAATGTAGTCTACTTTTACTTACCCCTTTCTATTTAATTAGTACTCAGCCAATATTATTTAATTTTTTTTGAAGTTTATAGAAAATAAACTTGGGGCATCACATCACGATCAGAGTTAAAAGAATGTCATTTCTAGTCATTTGGATCTAGAGTCAGGAAAGCACAGAGAGGGTAGTCAATGAGGCATTTATTGACACATAATAAAGAAGTTTAGCAGATAGTCTGTTCATCCCACCAACCGTTTTGTAGAGAAGAACTGAATTGAGACTCTGAGGAAAAAGAAAAATAATTATTCACAGTTCAAAATGAGAGTAGATTTTGTCTGTTTGTTTTTTGGGCCACACCCAATGATGCTCAGAACTTATTCCTGCCCCTGCATGCAGAGCTCACTCCTGGCGGTACTCTGCACTGCACTGTCCTCCTGTTGTTCATCGGTTTGCTCAAGCAGGCACCAGTGATGTCTCCATCGTGAGACTTGTTGTTACTGTTTTGGCATATCGAATATGCCACGGGAGCTTGCCAGGCTCTGCTGTGAGGGCAGGATACTCTTGGTAGCTTGCCGGGCTCTCCGAGGGACGGAGGAATCAAACCCGGGTCAGCTGCATTGAAGGCAAATGCCCTACCCGCTGTGCTATCGCTCCAGCCCTGGCAGTACTCGGGGGACCTTAAAGGATAACGGGATCAAACTTGGATCGGCTACATGCAAGGCAATGCCCTACCCCCTCTACCATCTCTCCAGGCCCAAGATGAGAGTGGACTTAAGGAAAAAGATCTTACCCTGTCTCTGCATGACTATGGTTCTTAGGACAAGAAGAAGCAGTGCTTTTCCCAGGGTGGAGAATCTTAATTCTTGCTTAACTTGAGTTGCTTTCAAAGCACAGATCAAATAATAGCACAGATCCAAGCTTTTATCCCCAACTTCTGCCTATCTCAAGCTGCTGCCTAGGAAATTTTCAGATTTTGCCTTCAGTGTTCTGTTTCACCTTCATGGCATTTGAGTAGCTAAATGTGCATGCGGCTTGCAGACAGCTTCCCCTTTCCCTTATTATAGTTGGCTGCAAAGCTTGAATAATAAACATTTAACAAGTGGAATGCCTTTTCCCTTTGGTCTTCTCAGCAGGCTTCATAAGGGACTACAGTTTATTTAGATTGAGAGGAACTGACTTAGGGGAGCGAGCCTTCTGTAGGACCAGCCACCACTGCCGACTTTTTCCCTTTTGGGAAAAAAAGAGAAAAATTATTTTAGCAAGCACTTTCTCTGCTCTCTGACTTGGCTTCCTCAAGAAGTACATGCTGTGCTCTTTCTTCCAGGGGTCAGTGTTCAATGAGAAATGCATGGAGGGATGCATAACTTGTTAACTGGACGAAATAATATTTCAGCAAGGTTAAAGTTAATCCAAAATTTCATAACATGGGGAGATGTATTTTATATTAGAATATAATAATAATTGCCAGCATTTCAAATAGGTGATATTCATATAAATTGACATATATATATAGATAGATAGATATGTTGCTGTTATTGATTGGTAGGTTGTGGATTGCAAAGTATGCCTTTTACTATTTTTGGTGGAGATATTTATTTGTTGAGAGATATTTTCTCTGTTTCTCATGGCTTAACGTATTGTGAAATTTCAAGAGTATGGTTTAACACTTCACTTTTATATGTGTTTTGGAATTACTGCCCCTGCCAACAATGTCCCAGTGTCACCCACCACCCCAAAAGACCAATTTACCCATTTCACCCATCTCACTTTCCCTCTGGTAGCCCCTGTATCTCTCACTCAGTCTAGCTTTTTAAAAACTGAATCTTGTAATTAAGCTAGCTTTGTGGGTTTCTACCAGTTTGTTTGCTTAACTGATTTATTCTCTACACATGAGTGGAACCATCCAATAGTTTATTCATAGTCCCCTGAAGATCCAGCCTTCTTCTTCCACATGGCACAATTCATCTTTCTTTCTTTCTTTCTTTCTTTCTTTCTTTCTTTCTTTCTTTCTTTCTTTCCTTCCTTCCTTCCTTCCTTCCTTCCTTCCTTCCTTCCTTCCTTCCTTTCTTTCTTTTAAAGCAGAGTAATATATTAATGCGTATACATACCACAGCTTCTTCATCTAATCTTCTGTTGATGAGCATTTAGTTTGTTTCGTGGTTTTGGCTTTTGTGAATAACGCTACTTATGAACACAGGGATAAAATAACTTTTGAATTAGGGTTTTTATATTTTTCAGATAAATGCCTAGAAGTCATCGCACTGGATTATAGGCTATTTCCATTTTTATTTGGAATCTGCAGGAGTTCCTTTCCTAATTTTTTTTTCAAAAGCAAGCCTATTCATCTTTTCTCTCTGTGTAAATATGTGAACATTCAAATGACATTTTATTTGGAATCACCTGAAACTGAAAAAATGAAAAAATTAAATGCTGCACTTTCTTTTTCTTGGATTAGCTTTTAGAATAATTTTAAATTTACAGAAAAATACAGAAATTTCTAACCAGGATTATACCTACGTTACCATATTAGATTTAGGAATTAAGTTTCCTGTGAATGCTTTTAATTTTCTTTGTTTTTGACATCTGAGTTTTAAGAGCACTGGAAACCCCCTCTGTAGTGAAAGGGTTTTTCTCATGATTATGTGTTTCTCATAGATTTCATGGAGAAAAAGTTCCACTTTTATCACATTATATTCAGGGTATATACTATCACAGTTCTTTCCTTTTTAGGGGGAGTGTTTATTTGGCAGGAGGGGGCTGTACTTGAGGGGCTCAAATGACTACACCTGGCGTGCTGGAGGAGGTTCCTTCTAAAACTACTCTGGGGACTGTGCAGTGCTGGGGATCAAACCTGAGCCTCTGCTGGCTAAGCATTTAGCAACCCTTGGAGCCAGTTCTCCAGCCCCCATTTATTTTCTAAAGTAATACTCTCCTTTATTATGGAATAGTTAGAAAATACCAATTAAGAAAACATAAGAAAATCGGAATCTGCATAATCTGCAGCTCCCATGAAGAAAACCATTACAAATTTGGTATATAACTAAAATCCACATCTCTAGTGTGTTTCTAAAAGAAACAATTTTGGATCTACCATTTTATTGTGTCTTTCAACTTGGTACATTTTTCAGTCTTTCAGTGTCAGTAAATTTTGATATTTAGATTTATAGGTGCATATGGATGAAAATGCTATTTTAATTACTAATGCACTTAAACATTATTATGCATCATGTGATGTTATTGCAAATGTTCTTGTAGTCAAGCCTTTATTCACATCTTTGACCTTTTCTGTAGGATGCGATGGATGTTCTTGCACAGGTGTGCACATATTTGTGGCTTTTTGGTCCCGCAGCCTTACCGTTTGCATTATTACCCACATAATTTGGTAGGGCCTCTCTCTGTAATCCTAGCCAGTGTCGATAGCTATCACTTTTACTGCTTAAAATTTTTATGCAGTAGATCTATCACTCTTTTCCCGTTCCTGATTTCTTGATGGTATTTTTCTAGTATTATTTATAGTTTTATTTTACATTTTGATCTCCTTATAATAAAAAAATAACATATAAAGAGAAGTGCATGAAACTTAAGTGCATAGCTTAAAGAATGATTATAGAGTGAATGCTCACGGAAACACCACCCAAGAAATAAACATTACCAGCAGCTGTCCACATTACTCTTTCCAGTCATAACTTTAAGTCAGTTACCACCTGAACTGTTATGACAATCAGTTTCTGGTTTTTGTTTTGTTTTTTAAGACTTAATTACTCATACCTAAACACTAAATAGGTTGGGTTTGTGTTTATACAAAAAAACCCTAATATATCAGCTTTTTAAAAAAAATCTACAGCTTTATCGAAATAGATTTCAGATACCATAAAGCATAGCCACTGTTTTTTTTTTTAATTGAATCATTATGAGCTACGGTTACAAAATTTTCATGTTTGAGTTTCAGTCACATAGTGATTAAACACCACCCCTCCACCAGTGCACATTTTCTACTACCAGTGTCCCCAGTATCCCCCTACCCTCCCACCCCTGTCTCAACCTTCCCCCGTCTCTATGGCAGACAGTTTCCTTCTTAATCTCTCTGCTTATGGGCATTATGGTTTAAAGCGTAGCCATTTGAAGCGTACAGTTCAGTGGCATTCACAGACTTGTGCAACTATCGCTAAAAACTAATTTTCAAGTATTTCAGCATCGCCTGAAGAAGCTCAAGATCTTCTACGAGTTGTTCCCCATTACTTTTTTTTTTTTTCGCCTCTTAGCATTAGTCTATCTACTTACCTCCCAAAGTTCTATTTTGCCTATTTTGACGGTTGCACATAAGTGAGATCAGGTGATATGTGGTCTTTTTTTGGTTGGTTTCTTTCATTTCATGTAATGACTTTAAAGTTCATCTGTGTTTCATTCCATCTTGCAGTCAAGTAACAATGTGTTACATGATTAAATGGCATTTTGATTATTAACTCATTAGCTGATAGACGTTAATTTAGATGGTTTCTACTTTCTGTTATGGATGTAATGATCACTGTGCAGAAATTTTTGTATGGTCATATGATTTTGTTCCTTATCTGCATAGGTCTAGGAATGCAGTTGCTAAGTTATATGGTAACTGCGTTTAGCAGTTTGCTTATTGAGTGTTCATTACGTGGCAGATACTATGCTGGAAACTTGGCATTTCTTGCCCTGTTAAATTTTCATCATTTTCATTAGATAGCATTGCCACTTTGATACAAAGAAATGGAGAGGAAAAGAGTGTCCTGGCGATCTGTACGGGGCATCTTTGTATATGACACACCTTAAAATTGTTTTTGCAATTCTGTGTATTAACTATACACAGGATTTCACCCAATCTGGTTGCCCCTTTATATATAGTAGTTTTTTATTTTATTTTAATTTTTTAAACATTTACTTTTATTGGAGTTATGGTGAAACACACAGTCACAAAGCTGTTCATGATTGGGTTTCAGTTATGCAATGATCTAATACCCATCCCTTCACCAGCGTTCATTTCCCACCATCAGTGATCCCAGTTTCCTTCCTGCTATCCACCCCCACAGCCTGCCTCTATGGCAGGCACTTTTTTTTCTCTCTCTCTCTCTTTCTCTCCCTCTCTGTCTCTCAGTTTTAAAGGACTAGCTGTACTTGACTTGTAGCTTCATTCAATCTTGACAGTGATCATTTCTCTGTTAGCTCTGTGAAGCAGGAGCATCCCAGTGAAGAGCTTTCCAAAGATGAGGTCATTCTGCAGCTGAAGGCTGAAGTGCGGCATTTGCTGGGGAGCAACTCGGTGAAGCGTCACTTGGTGTCTCAGTTACAGAATGATCTCAAAGACTGTCAGAAGAAAATTGAAGATCTGCAAGGAGCGGAGAAGGAAGGAAAAAGCATGGAGATTGAGGTTTGTCAAGTTTGTATGTACACATAAGCTATTCTTAGAAGGTTCAGTCAAAACAGAATTTCCTGCCCACCCCCATTTTTTGGGGGGGAGGGGTGTGAAGCAAGATGGTTTTTACTACAACTTATTTAGAAAGATGTAAGGGGAGAAAAAGGGAGAAGAGCATGTTCAAGAGAGAACCCAGGCTTCTCCAGAGTGAAATCAGCAAGCAAAGAATCAGAGCCAAGCAAGAGAGATAGGTGTTCAAAGGAGAACACAGGCTTGAAGAGCCATAATTTATGCATTTAAAGTAAAGCCTTATCTTTCAGAGACATTGTATTTTTTTCTCTTCAGAGGAAATTATTTTGGTGTGGGGCAGGAAGTCCCAAGTAGTGCTTAAGGGGTCTGGGGGCTTCATTGACAGTTATTGGCCAACTTGGCCTGTGGTTCAATGTAAGGGGCTAAGATTGCTATGATTGTTATGCTGAACAGGCCACGTGGTGATAGGGACACCGGGGCCACCCCATCCATGCTGGGGACCTCCAGGACCACACATGGCCATGTTGGGGGATCTCCAAAGCTTCATCTGGCAATGCTTGGGGACCTTGTGGTGCTGGGAATTGAACCTGGGTTGGATGCAAGTTTAAAGATGGACATGCCACTAAAAATAATATATTTTCTGGCTGGAGACTTATTACAGTGGTAGGGTGCCTACCCTGCATGTGGCTGACCTGGGTTTGATCCCTAGCACTGCATATGGTCTCCTGAGACCTGCCAAGAGTGATCCCTGAGCACAGTGGATTAAGCCTTAGGATAAAGCCCTGAGAACTGCTGAATGTGGCCCCAAACCCCCCAAATCAAAAACAAACAAAACTCTACAAAGAAAGAAAGATATTTTATCATTATACTTGGCACTTAGGACTGGAGCTACAACATAGTGGGTAGGGTGTTTGCCTTGCACGTGGCTGACCCGGTTTCGATTCTTTTGTCCCTCTTGGAGAGCCTGGCAAGCTACCCAGAGTATCCTACCCGCATGGCAGAGCCTGGCAAGTTCCCCGTGGCATATCCAATATGCCAAAAACAGTAACAAGTCTCACAATGGAGACATTACTGGTGCCCGCTCTAGCAAATTGCTGAACAACAGGGCGACAGTGCTACAGTGCTATATATTTTATTATTATTTGATCAGCTTAAAATGATTATTGAGAGTTTGCATTTGTGTATGTGCTGTAGTTCCTGAAATCTGGTGTGCATTTTTGATTTATGGAACATTTCAAGTCACTGTGACTATATGTAATTAATGGTTAAAATGCCCCAAGTAGAGATCCATAAGGAGATGGGCGTGTTCATCTGTGTAGTAAGATTGACTGAAATGACAAATCCAGTGAACAGGGTTGGGCAAGATTGTAAGACACACTTAGTAAAGTAGTTACAGAGGTAACTTTTGATTTAAATCCATAGTGAAATAAAAAGGGATTATTTTAGTACAAAAAAGGATGTAGCAAATTAGCAACTGTAATTAGGCCATGCAAATAGAAGTCTTAATTATACATAGAAGTTCAGTCTTCTAAAATCTTTAATGATATAAATGATTCAATATCAGTTTTAGGAGATCCGTGCCTTGGCAGTGCTGCTCCTGGCACAGTGCTCGGGGGCCAGTTCCGACTCACTCGGCATATTTCTTTTATCACTCTCACTGTCCTCCCATTGTTCATCAATTTGCTCAAGCGGGCCCAGTAACATTGTGAGACTTGTTACTGTGTTAGGCATATCGAATACATCATGGGTAGCTTGCTAGGCTTTGCCGCGCGGGTCAGATACTCCTGGTAGGTTGCTGGGCTCTCCGAGAGGGGCGGAGGAATCAAACTCACACGCGGCCTTGCCTGTAGCTGACCGGGCCTACTTGTCTTCGATTCAATATGCCAAACACAGTAACAACAAGTCTCACAATGGAGATGTTACAGGGCCCTCTCGAGCAATCGATGAATAACTGGAGGACAGTGCTACAGTAAGCAGATTAGTGTATCACATTTCAAGTTTTCATGGAAGATGTCTGCAGAAAAGGAAATTGTTGTGACATTTAAGTAGGTTAACTACCTCTCTTTAAAGGATTTTTTTTTGTTTTTGCTGACAAGTAACCAGTACTCATGAGCTTGTAGTATGATAATACGGCAAAACTTGAGTATGATAACTGGTTATAAAGAACATTTTTCTGTAGTCTATTAGTGTGATTTTACTTCCATTCTTAGTAATAAAATATAACTAGTGAGGAGTTGGAGGTGGGGGGGGGAGAAAGAGAGAGAGAGAGAGAGAGAGAGAGACAGACAGACAGACAGACAGACAGAGAGCACATAGGAGGTAAGGTACCTTCTTTGCAGCTTGCTACAACCTTGCTTCAAATCCCCAGCAACACATGCAGTCCTTTGAGGGAGGGAGAGTGGGAGGAAGGAAGAAAAGATTTTAATAGCCTGAAAAAAAATTTATTAAAAAACAAAATCTCTCCAGTGGGGAAAGAAATACAAATGATTATTATAAACATTGTCTTGTGTGGCCCAGACCTTCTCCCCGCAAAACAAAGAAAGGAAGGAAGGAAGGAAGGAGGGAGGGAGGGAGGGAGAGAGGGAGGGAAAGAAGGAAGGACTTTAACAGCCTAAAAATGAATTTATTAAAAAACAAAAATATCTCCAGAGGGGAAAGAGATAAAAATGAATATTTTACAATTGATAAAATAGAGGTCAAGTTGAAATAAAAGAAAGTCCATTCTAATAGGCCCAAACCTTTAATGTCTCATTAGGACCCTCAAATCTATAGAGACATTATGAGGGTAGGTATTCCTCCCGCTTCTGCCCGGGGTAGGGGCGATGGCATACATGGGAAATGATGTCAAGTGGAAGGAGAAAAGTCAGCAGCTGGAACAAATTGCTGCCAAGGGACCTTAGGATTCCGCTGCCCTCCACTGAATCGGAAAAATGAGACAAATTCTGATACTTTCTCCACCCATTACAGTCCTGGTTTAAAGCGTCTTCCTTTTTTTTTTTTTTGCTTTTTGAGTCACGCCCAGTGATGCACAGGCATTACTCCTGGCTCATGCACTCAGGAATTACTCCTGTCAGTGCTCAGGGGACCATATAGGAAGCTGGGAATCGAATCTGGGTCAGCCACGTGCAAGGCAAATGCCCTACCCGCTGTGCTATCGTTCCAGCCCCTAAAGCTTCTTTTAAGGAATGCAGACTAAGTACTACCTGACAATTTCATTGTATGACTTGTATGTAAACAAAAAACGCCCAAAGTCTATCAAAGAATCTTAGAAATTGTACATATTGAACTACTGTGATAGTACATAGTGTGTTGACTACATTTGAAAAAGTTTGAGGGGGTATACTAAAACATACAATGCTATAAACTGCACTCAATAAAATAATTTTATCTGTTGATTGAATCACGAGTCAATATGAATTATGTAAAGAAATAAATACAGAATAGATGAAAAATAAGTGATGAAACATGGGACTTTTCTTACACAGTCTCAACATTTCTCTTAATAAGGCACTTTGTTAATTTTTTGTTTTCTTTTCTTTTTGAGTCACACCTGGTGATGCACAGGGGTTACTCCTGGCGGTGCTCAGGGGACCGTTTAGGATGCTGGGAATTGAACCCGGGTTGGCCGTGTGCAGGGCAAATGCCCTAACCACTGTGCTTTCTCTCCATCCCCCCTTTTTTTTTTTTTTAATCTTTTTTGGATCACACTCAGCAATGTTGCTCAGGTGTTACTCCTGTCTCTGCACTCAATAATTACTCCTGATGATACTTGGGGGATCATATGGGATGACAGGAACTGAACCCGACTTGGCCACATGCAAAGCAAACACCCTACCCACTGTACTATTGCTCCAGCACCTAATAAGGCTCTTTTAAAAGTAGAGAAAGTGACTTGAAAACAGAGGTACCAGGAGACACCACTTCACAACTGATCAAAAATAATGATCTGCCACTTCTAGGGCATTTGTGCTAGAAGTACAGAACTTAGACTCAGTAACACCAGGAAAACCCAATTTAAGGGACAACCTACAAAATAATTAGATAATACTCTTTTAAAAATGTCATGGTGGGGGGGAAAGGTTAGAGAGGTGTTTGCCTTGTATTCCTTTGCCTCCAACAAACTTTCCTGGTCTTGATTTATTGAGGTTCTATCTGGGAACAATATTTGTGATGTTTTTGTGATATTTATTTGTATTTTTTATTTATTTGTATTATTTATAATGTTTTTTCAGTTTTTAAAAATATGTATAGAATTATTTCAAAGTGAGTGCTGAGGATTTTATCAACTTGAAAAAGTTTAAATTTTTTTATTTTTAACAATTAGGCAAAAGCAAAAGCCTGTGAAAGAAACACTAATCCATTATGTACTGACTCTTCTACCTGTGATTTGATGGTGAAGGATGATATTCTGCGACTAAAAAATGAAATTCAAGTTTTACAACAACAAATTCAGGTAATTAAAACATTGTGCTTTTTTTGGTGAGAGTTTTCATGATCTTAACTTTTTTTTTTTTCACAAGACTAATGGTTTTTTAATTTTTTTCCCCCTGAAAATACATGAGCTATTTGAGTTAGTGGGTAAGTATATTGATTGGTGATTATTCTGTTTTCGTTACCCTAGTGGTCACAGGGTAGTAGTTTGTGAGTTAGTGGAAACATATTTTCCTCTTTGTCAAGCATGATTGATTGAGGTGTATTTTCTTTCATTTTGGTGATTGTAGAAGATTATTGAATTCTAAGACAAATTTTCTTTTGTTGTTGTTAGTAGTCAGGGCCAATCCTGGTTGTGTTCAGGGCCCTATGAGGAGGGGATCACATACGGGGTAATGGAGATCAAACACAGGGTCATACATGTGCTCTACCGCTTAAGACAAATTCCTGACCCCTCCCAGCCGTACTGTAAGGCATGAGTTAGCTAAAACTCTGACTGAATTCAACGCTCTGCTCTGCTGTTTTGGGGCCATTCCTGGCGATGCTTAGGAATCACTCCTAGTGGTGCTAGGGAACCATAAGGGATGCCAGGGTTTGAACCTGGGTCGGTCATGTGCAAGGCAAGTGCTTTACCCTCTGTACTTTCTCTCCAGCCTCAACATTTGCTTTTAATCTATTTTAAAATACAAAATTTGACCTTTTACTTCTTTCAAAAAGCTAGGTGCCCGAGAAATAAATCAATGTTCTTGTCAAAGCATCAGGCTGCCTTTTCTTCTGTAGAATTTTAAAAATTATATGTCAAATACTATTTCCAGGGTCCTGTTAAAGCATGGAGGATGTTTAAGGATGAGATTAGACAAATCAGTGAAGATTATTTCCTCTTAACACTTTATTCTTTGTTATCTAGGAACTTAAAGAAACTGAAGAAAAACTGAAAAGTAAAAATCAAGACTTATGTAACCAAATGAGACAAATGGTACAAGATTTTGACCATGATAAGCAGGAAGCTGTGGAGAGGTATAGCCTGTAGAGGCCCAGTGTCTTCCTGGTATACCTTCCCTTGCTTTCCCTCCTCTCCTCCAAATAAGGATCGAGAGAATTAATGAAATCCACCTTTCCTATCAAGATTTTGGGTTGGAGAAGATGAGTTTGTTTCTTCTCAAAATAGAATTTGGAACATGTTTTCCATAGAAATGATGTTCCATAGTAGTTTGGGCTCTATAGCACCATCAAAACAGTACTTCACTTCAATAGTACAGTTTAATGGTATTTTAAAGGCTAGTTTAAGAAATTGTTCTTGTATTTTAAAGGCTAGGTTAGAAAGCTGTTCTTCAGAAGGAAGAAATATGTCTTCCAAATACAAAATCATAAATTTGGAAACAGAGTTTTGGAACATCACTTATTTGTAAGTTAGATACGAGTTGACTTGGGATTTTGGATTCATAATCTCAGTTAATTAATTTGTTGATAAGCAGAATTCCTTGGCCCAGGATAGTTACCTCTATTTTACAGATGAAGACATTCTCCCATCTCTAGATTTCTAGTTTTTCTCTAGATGCACATGGAGAAAGACTATTTGAAATATTTTCATTAGGCCAACTGTTGTAAATCAATGATTATTGCTTTTGTTGGAGAAAGCCAGTGTGACTTTCACTATAATTTGGGTTGCAGGAAGGAGGGTAGGAGACAAACTGATGTTGGTATTTCCAGCCTTGTGGGCACGGTCTTAGATGCTGCTGTCTCTCATCTCTTCCTAGGTGTGAGAGGACTTACCAGCAACACCATGAGGCCATGAAATCTCAAATCCGGGAAAGCCTGTTAGCAAAGCATACGTTGGAGAAGCAGCAACTCTTTGAGGTTTATGAAGGGACTTGTTTGCAGCTTAGGTGAGAGTAAATGAATCAAACTGTCCTGTGTTACAGAGACTACATTTTCCTCTTCTATAATGTAGAGGCATATTGTTTATTCTATAGCCCTTGCATTGTGTGGTCATTTTGTGGCTCATTTTGTATATTCAAGGTCTGACTTAGATAAGTTGAACAAGGAGTTGACTGCTGTGCAGGAGTGTTACCTAGAAGTGTGCAGAGAGAAGAATATTCTCGAATCAAGTATCAGGAAGACCATGGAAAAGGAGCATCATGCTCAGGAGGAGAAGGTACATACCTTCACACTGTGTTGGCTTCTTTTTGTTTTTCTGACCTTACCGTTTTCAATTTCAGTTCAAACACTATGTTCTCTTGTGATATGGGAAACACATCCATGGACTTTTATTTTTTTGCTTTGCTTTGAACCGTGTCGGGCTGGAGCGATAGCACAGCGGTAGGGCGTTTGCCTTGCACGCAGCCAACACGACCGACCCGAGTTCGATTCCTCCGCCCCTCTCGGAGAGCCCGGCAAGCTACCGAGAGTATCTCGCCCACACGGCAGAGCCTGGCAAGCTCCCCGTGACGTATTCGATATGCCAGACACAGTAACAACAGAGTCTCCAATGGAGACGTTACTGGGCCCGCTCGAGCAGATCAATGAACAACGGGAGGGCCTTTACCTTTAGCTTTACCTTGAACCGTGTTACTCTGACAAAATTCACAAACCCTAACAGCAAACTGTAAAATGGCTATTAAAATCGTAGTAGGAAATAGAATTATTTGTAGAAAATGGAATGTAATGAAAAGTGGTTATTCTGTTAAGGGTTATTCTAGGAAGCTAAAAAAAATAATTAAAAAAATAGAAGTTGTTAGAATAAGCAAGAGTGGGCCAGTCTCGTTTTGAGTCCAGAAGCTAAGAGTCTTCCTCTTGCATTGATTTATTGGCTACTCAGGTGATGCTGCATAGTCCTGTCTAAGCACTGCCCTGAGCATTGCATCTGTGACATTATCCTCTAGCCCATTTCTCCCTTAACACCTCATTGACCTTCAGTTCTTCTGGGAAGCTGGGAGGGAGTTGCAAACTGCATTTCCTTGTCGAACAGTGGGTAATGTGCAGACTGCAGAAAGGTCCTGGGGTTAGTCTGAAACTTGTATTTCAGGACCTGAGGGTGCTATAGATCTTTCCCAGTGGCCATTGGTGAGTGACCAGGAGTCAATCACATATCAGCCTCTGGCCCTTCTCCTATCCTTCCCTATTCTGACCTCCTCCAGCCTCACCAGACCCTCCCTTCTACTCTGGGCCGCCTGCAGACCATAATTTGAAAGCCACCTGCATAAGGATTAGAAATTTTTTTTTCAAATTTTAATTTTTTAAACTTTTAATTTTTTAATTTTTCATTTATTGAGTCACCGTGAGAACAGTCACAAAGCCTTCCAGTTTAAGTCTTGATCAGTCATACAATGATCAAACACCCATCCCTTCACCAGTGCACATTTTCCACCACCAAGAACCCCAGTATACCCTCCTCCCACCCCACCCCTTGCCTGTGTGGCAGATTTCCACTTTACTCTCTCTACCTTGATCACGTTCAATATTATGACAAATTATCCATTATTATTTGAAATTTTCCCCAACAATCAGATCTGCCAAAAGGACATCATTAGATAATTTGTTTTCTATTGCTGATTATGAAGAACATATGTTGCATGGCTGCTGTTGCAGCCATGCGATTTTGGATTTCTGATATTTTAGTAATAAGTCTGGAGGGATTATTGCTAAAAGCCGCTGGGTTCTGAGATTGGTTTGTGTACCTCTGGGATCATGGTCGTTCAGGAGCTGGAGGAGGCATTCATGGGTGGCAACTCGGGGTCTTGTCAGGGCTGTGGATCAGGGCCAGTTCCACCCCTCATCCCATGAGGCCCCACATGCCTTGTCACTGCAGTCTCATACCTGGCTGTCCATTAGGCTCTGAAAGATGGTGGCCACCATGCTGCCACCGCCAGGGGGAAAAGGCGTAGGGACAAACAACCTTCCCCTCCTGGGGTGTCACAGCACCATAGTTTAATGCACAATCCAGATGCATTTCTGCAAAAAGCTGGTGGTATCTGAGATTGGTTTGTGTGCCTCTGGGATCATGGCCGTTCAGGAGCTGGAGGAGGTGTTCGTGGGCGGCAACTCGGGGCCTTGTCAGGGCTGTGGAGCAGGGCCAGTTCCAACCCCCATTCCATGAGACCCTGAGTGCCTCGTCAATGCAGTCCCATACCTGGCTATCCATTAGGCTCCAAAAGATGGAGTCCACCATGCTGCCGCCACAAGGGGGGACAGGTAGAGGGACAAACACCCTTTCCCTCACAGGGTGGCATAGCACGGTAGTTAAATGCACAGTCCAGATGCACTCGATTGGCCATTATATTTTGCTCAGGTTTTCCCACCACCATTCAAGCCTGCCTTCCAGGGACAGACATTAGATCATTTACTTTCCATTGCTTACTTTGTATATCAGGAAAGGCATGCGGCCACATAAGCGGCCGTGCAGTTCTGAAGAATAGTCCTGGTGCCCACATACTGGAGCCATGCTTGTAGAAGATCATGTCTCTGGGGTTCCATCTAGAGAAGGCGGGGAGACTGCACCTGCTCTATCTGGGACCTCCTGGCGATATCAGCTCGGTATGGGGCCTAAAGAATTCCCCAGGTGTTGTGGTGCCCACCGACCAGGTTTTTTCACTGCTGTGTCAGGATCAGAAAATATTTTTAAAGGTTTGAGTAAAACAGTCAACCTAGAGGTTTTCGAAAAAGTATTCTACTAAAGATAGCACAGCGGGTAGGGCGTCTGCCTTGCACGCAGCCAACATGGCCGACCCGAGTTCGATTCCTCCGCCCCTCTCGGAGAGCCCGGCAAGCCACCGAGAGTATTTGATATGCCAGACACAGTAACAACAAAGTCTCCAATGGAGACGTTACTGGGCCCGCTCGAGCAAATCGACGATCAACGGGAGGGCCTTTACTTTACTTACTTTACTTATTCTACTAAAGATAGTTGTTAACTTCCACAAACTGTAAAAGAACATTAAAGGGCACAGGAAAAATTTGGTTCATTTAATATTTTAGTTGATTATTTTTGAGTAGGTTAGTTAATATGGTAAAAAAAACAAGTCTTATATACATATCATGTAGTAGGAAAAGAACTTCTAAAGGGAGCGCTTGTATTTTAGTTAGTACTGGCAGTATAAAAGTTAAAAGGGATCTTAAATTACTTAGAAGTGACCGACTTCATTTTCAGTAATGTTTTAAAAAATGAAAATGGGGAAAACATCTCTAGTGTGATTCTTTTCTTTTTTAAAATATATAAATTGGCAAGAACATAATAATTTTCTGAGGAAGGTATGACTCTTTTTAAAAAAAATATACATTCTAGTATTTTCAAAAGAATCAATTTGGCTGTAAATTTGAATCTCATATAATTGGTTAGTTGTAATTAATAGCTGCTACTGGCTGATATTTTGATTCAGGAATATTTGTAGACTGGAACAAGAAGGAAAGTTTAAACTGTTATTTGCTGTTATTTGGCCTTTCCCTAAAAACTTTACAGTATGTTACTTTTTTTTCTTTCTTAAAAACATCAGATTTTTTCCCCCCTTTTTTAAAATGTCAAACAGCTCAATTTTCTAGACATTTTTAGTAATGAATACATTGATCAGGGTACAGGACAGTTTCATCACCTTGAAAAAAATCGTATGTTTTCTTTTCTTTTCTTTTTTTAATGTAGGAGTACTGCTATTTATTCAGCCACTGATTAGTTGATTGAATTGTGCATGAACTCCACCTTACTTCTTTTTTTCATTTTTTATAATTTTATTTATTGAATCACCGTGAGAGCAGTTACAAAGCTTTCAGGTCTAAGTCTCGGTCATACAATGAAACACCCGTACCTTCACCAGTGCCCATTCTCCACCCCGCAACATATCCCAGTATACCCCCATCCCACACCCTCCCCCTACCTGTGAGGCAAATGGTTTCCAATTACTCTCTCTTTGCTTTGATCACATTCAATATTTTGACACCAGACCCACCATTATTATTTGAGATTTTACCCCAACACTCAGATCTGCTGAAAAGGCAACAGTAGACAATTTGTTTTCTATTGCTGGTTATGAAGAACATATGATGTCGCGTGGCTGCAGTAGTGTCGATTTTGAAATTCTGAAATTTTAACACTTAAAACTGGAGGGATTTCTGCCCAAACCTGCCCATCCTGTGAGGCCCAAAATGTCTCGTCACTGCGGACCTAAACCTGATTGTCCAATCAGGATGATGGCCTCTGGAGGATGACGGCCACCGAACCACCAGGGGTGGCCCGGCGACAGTAACCTACTGCGGGGTCCAGACACATTTCTACCAAAAGCCGCTGGGTTTCAAGATTTGTTTCTGAGTCTCTGGGATAATGGCCATTAAGCTGCTTGATCAGGAGCCAGAGAGGCCGTTGGTGGGCGATGACTTGGAGTCTCGTTGGGACGGGGAGGACAGGACTAGCTCCACCCCCATCCTGTGAGGCCCTGCTTGTCTCGTGACTGCGGGTCCAAACCTGACTGTACAGTGGCCTCTGGAGGATGGTGGCCATCAGGCCGCCAGGGGGAACAAGCCAAGGCAGGAAACCTATTCCCAGGTAACCTACTCCAGGGACCGGAAGCATTTCTGCCAAAAGCTGCTGGGTTTCGAGACTTTTCTGAGTCTCTGGGATCATGGCCATTAAGCAGTTCAGTCAGGAACCAGAGCGGCCATGCCTCCAATTATATAGCTGAGCCGGAGGTGGTTTGTGGGTGTGTTTCCCACATACCTAACTTTTGGCCATTTACTTTCTTGGTAAACTTTGCTCCAAGTTTTTGGGGTCTGGCCAAATGCACAGGAGCAATTTTGGGGTATCTGGAAGTCTGAAGGTGCCATCAGGCTGCTGATGCACTCACCTCACAGGTACAGATTGACCTGCTGGTGGCACCATACCCCTGCATATGTTCTCTTTGTAGTTAGATGTAATCTGCCAAATTTTAGAAATTCAACCTTCCTTCCTTCCTTCCTTCCTTCCTTCCTTCCTTCCTTCCTCCCTCCCTCCCTCCCTCCCTCCCTCCCTTCCTTCTTTCCTTTCTTCCTTCCTTGCTTCATCTCTCCTTCCCTCCCTCCCTCCTTCTCTCCTCTCTCTCCTTCCTCCCTTGTTTGTCCTTCCTTCCTTCCTTCCTTCCTTCCTTCCTTCCTTCCTTCCTTCCTTCCTTCCTTCCTTCCTTCCTTCCTTCTTTC